CAGGGCAAAGCAGCATGGATGCAAAACGAGGTAAAGCGGTTGCAAGACACTCTATCTCAAACTACCTGTCCTCGAGTATGTCACAGCCAAGGGCAGGCTCACCCCCGACGGACGGAGGACAGACAGACTCTGACTTAGTGACAAGACTCGCGACGTAGTCGAGACGACTCCTAGCAGCGAAGTTGACTAGCTCAGTGACTAAGGCAAAGGCAGCAGTAGACTCAAAGGAAGGGTTAGTGACTACAGTGGCAAGGAGACGAGTGACAGCACGAGCAAGGTCAGGTTTAGGGTTAGGAACGTCAGGAAGAGAGGACGCCGGAGGAGACGGCAGGGCAACATGCTATGGAGCAAAGAAAGGACGAAGTGCCATAACGCGCGTGCCTGGGACAACAGGAGGACGAGGACAGGCGACACGACGAGCGTGAACAGGTGTGGAGGCACGAGATTCAGGCTCATGACGCTCAATTAGGGAGTCTAACGGCTCAGTGTATGGAGAAGGAGCAGGCAGTGGGGAGCCAGGTGGCAACTGTGTCTGAGACGGGGCAGACGGTGGACACATAAGAGGTGGAGTGAGGCCAGTGGAAGACAGGAGACTAACAACCCAGTGAAGGGCCGAGTCAGGCGGTGGCAAGGACAACTGCGGCTGCAGGTAGAAAAACGGTCGGCGCGGGGCAGTATCCGTACTGTCAGCAGTTCCAGCACCTCCAGCACTAGCACCTCCAGTGCTTGCAGCTCCAGCACCTCTAGTACCTCCAGCTCCAGTGCCTTCAGCACCAGCAGCACCTCCAGCACCAGCACCTCTAGCTCCGGCAGCTCCAGCACCTCTGGCACAGGCACCTCTAGTACCAGCAGCGCTAGCACCTCTTGTTCCAGCAGCTCCAATACCTCCAGCACCTCCAACACCTCCAGCTTTAGCAGCACCTCCAGCACCAGCACCTCTAGCACCAGCGACACCTCCAGCACCAGCAGCTCGAGCACCTCTAGCACCTCCAACACCTCCAGCACCTCCAGCTTCAGTGCCTCCAGCACCAGCAGCACCTCCAGCACTAGTAGCACCAGCACCTCTAGCACCAGCAGCACCTCCAACACCAGCAGCTCTAGCACCTCCAGCAGTACCTCCAGCACCAGTAGTACCTCCAGCACCAGCAGCTCCAACACCTCCAGCAATACCTCCAGCACCAATAGTACCTCCAGCACCAGCAGCTCCATGACTTGTAAAACTCCAAGCTCCAGCACCAGAGCAGCCTCTCCGAACAACCCACTTACGAAGCTGCTGCGGTGAGGGCGTCTCGAGTCGGCTAGGCGTCTGCCGCTGTCCAACGCCAGGACCTGCAGTAGGAGCACCCACAGCCCCGCCACCACTAGGACTCGCAGCACCCCCAGAGTTAGCACCCCCAGAATCTTCACCCTCAGTCTCAGCACCCCTTGGACTAGCAACCCCCAGTGTCACCACCCCCAGCAACACCAGAGTCCACAGCTATAGGTTGCAAAGGCGGCGAAGATGGTTGAGGCGGAAAACCAGGAGGGGTCTCCAAGCGTGGAGAGCGACGAGTGGCCGCCGTGTCGTCAGCGACAGGGTCACCCCCCTCAGCTGGGTCAGAGGTATCAAAAGAGACCACCAAAGGCTCAACCAAGGGGGGTGGGTCTACCTGAGACACATCTGAAGGAGCAGGACCCTATGGGGGGAGGGGGTCTACCGGAGGGGTACCTGGGACCAGGAAGAGGGACGGCAGGGAGAGTGGGGAGGGGACGTGCAGGTAGAGACGGTAGAAGCAGACTGACATATCAAAGGTGACGTCCTGTGAGGATAGGACGCGGTGCAAGGCAGGGTGGTAAAACTGCCAGGGCAGGGCGCCGGTGCGAAAGCGAAGGAAGAGGCAGCGGAGAGTGCGAGGAGAGAGCTTACTAGCGATGGTATCGCGGACATGGGAGAGCGCGCCCCAGACCCGAAACGTCGACGCATCGTTAACCTCCCCCGCCCAACGTAGTGTGGGCGAGGACTCTGGCACAGAGACGCATGTTGAGAGGTTGAGCTGATGCGCGGAGTATCGGACCGCAAATGGCCACAAAAAATGGGGAGCAGCCGCATGGATCATGGAGGTACGAGCAACCTCCATGATCAAGCCAATGCGACGCTCAGCAATCACATTCTGCTGTGGGGAGGCCAGAAGCGTGAACGACTGGGCGATGCCCTCCGCACGACAGAAGGCCTCAAGAAGGCTGGACGAGAACTCACCGCCTCTGTCAGAGTGCAGACGCAGGACTGGAAGGTCCTGCTGAAACCGAGCGCTCAGCTGGCGACGAATAGCGATGATCCATTCGATCAAAACACCACGAGAATTTGCCTTACTGCGTAAGGGGAAGACCGTGGTGTAGCGCGTGTAGTCATCAACAACAAGCAAAAAGTAGCACTCCAGGTCCTATCTACGGACGCGGGCTGGGCCCCACACGTCCATGTGGAGAGTCTGCAGAGGAGCAGTGGTTGGCGGAAACGAGGAGGAATAAGGAGCGACGCGCTACCGCCCCTCGATGTAGGGATGGCACAGCGGTGCAGGCGAGCGCGGGATCAGGGGCAGGGACCTGGGGAGGCCAAAGACAAGGAGACGAGAGTGCATTCCACGCAGGCGCGACAGGGAGGGGTGACCAAGACGGTGGTGCCAGAGGAGAGTCTGGTGCGAGAGTAGCTGGCACGAACAAGACGCAGCTAACTGACCCGACGCAGCTACCTGACCCGATGAAGCTACCTGTGCAGATTCATTGGTCAGTGTGTACAGGCCAGACCCAGGGCTCCGAGTGAACGTGGCGAGGTGCTCACCGGTGCGTGAGTCCGTACAGATCGCCACAAGCTCACCCAGAGGAGTAGTCACAATGACAAACTGGTCCGGGAGGACATCGTTAATCACCAAGTTCTTAGAGAACAAGGAGAGGTGGAAACCTGTGAGGGAGCTTGAGGGGGCTGCCGGACACAGGAGAACTGTGGAGGCAGGTGCTACAACTGGGCCCCCAGAGGTGTCAGCCAGAGAGACCGGGTCAGGTGTAGTGAGCGGCGTGACTGTGGTGGAGTCGCGGGAGAAAACAGCGAGTCGTGCTAGAGTCAAGCGTGAAGGTGTCCAAAGCCTTTACAGAAACTGCACCTGTGCTACCAGGCCCACAAACTAGTAGCCTCTTCACTACCAGGGCCACGTCGCTGAGAAACCCACTCGCGAAGCTGCTGCGGTGAGAGGGTCTCCTGTTGGCGCTTCTGCTGCTGCTGTCCAGTACCTCCAGCACTATAACCTCCACCACCAGGACGGCCTCGTTGAATAACCCACTCACGAAGCTGCTGTGGCGAGAGAGTCTCCTGGCGACGCTGCTGCCGTTGCTGTCCAGTACCTCCAGCACGGATGAGCTCCCAAGCTCTAGGACCAGAGCGGCCTCACCGAATGACCCACTCTTGAAGCTGCTGCGGCGATAGAGTCTCCAGCTAACGCTGCTGCTGCTGTCCTCCCCCAGACGCTGCTATGACTGTGATAGTGGCCATGACAGGCAGTGGCAGTCAGTAGCAGCGGCACAAGGGCGTTAGTAGCGACTGCTGTAGCGGTGGTCGCTGTGGCTGCAACCGCAGTAGCGACTGTTGGAGTGGCTGTGGAGGCCAGTAGGGTGCGTGGACAGCAGGGCACGGGCTAGCACCAGGGCACGGGCTAGCACCAGGGCACGGGCAGCGCAGGCACGCGGGCGGTAGGTCAGCGCAGGCTGCAGGGCAGGGCGGCGCACGGGCTGCAGGGCTGCGCAAGCAGGGCAGCGCGTGGGCTGCAGGGCGTGCGGGCAGCAGGGAAGGGCAGCGCGCGGGCTGCAGGGCAGGGCTGCACGCAGGCTGTAGGGCAGGGCTGCAGGGCTGCGCGGCGCGCGGGCTGTAGGGCGACGCGGGCAGCAGGGCGACGCGGGCAGCAGGGCGTGCGAGCTGCAGGGCGTCGCTGGCGGCAGGGCGACGCGGGCTGCAGAGCGCGCGGACTGCAGGGCGACGCGAGCAGCAGGGCGACGTGGGCTGCAGGGCAGGGCAGCTCGCGGGCTGCAGTGCAGGGCAGCGCGCGGGCTGCAGGGCAGGGCAGCACGGGGGCTGCAGGGCTGCGCGGGCAGGGCAGCGCGCGGGTTGTAGGGCTGCGCGGGCAGGGCAGCGCGTGGGCTGCAGGGCGTGGCGGCGCGCGGGCTGCAGGGCAGGGTAGCGCACGGGCAGCAGGGCGGCGTGCGGGCAGGGCAGGGAAAAAAAAACATGCAATTCCTGCGGTTGGTGGGCCCGAACGGAGCGGTCCTACGGACGAACCAGCTCTGAAACTATGTCAGAATCACTATGCAGGAATGGGGAATGACTAGGAACAATGAGGTACAAGTACCATGAAACCCTAATTGGGGTTGTACTCTATACTGAGCGCCTCACTGTAGCCTAGCAAGACTAACATATACATATGTTCTGACAGTTACAATGTACAATACACATAAGTACCGGTAGAAGGACACCGTTACCAGCACCTGATTCCTGAATCCTCAAAACATAGTCGAGTTTCATTGCGTTGATCGTTTAGTGGGAGTCACAAAGTTAGCGCTATCCGACAATATCAGAGAGAAGCAGCCTTGCTTTGAGTCTTGCTTTGACCACATACGGTAGGAAGAAGCCTCTTGCCACTTGCAGTAGCGGCCTCTAAGACACTCCACCGGCAGGCACTGCTGCTGGGAAGAGAACACGGTGGGAAGGAGCTGAAGCTGCTGCTGCTGCTGCTGCTGATGATGATGATGATGAAGCTGATGCTGCTGGTGCTGCCGCTGCTGCTGCTGATGCTGATGCTGGTGCTGCTGGCAGCATCACCACATCTTCATCTGCTTCCCTATCATGTGCTCTGTTCCTTTTCTCCACCTCTCTCAACTCCTCTCCAGCTGCTGCTGCAGCAGTAGGGGCCGACGCAGCAGCAGCAGCAGCAGCAGCAGCAGCAGGTGATGCAAAGAGCACGTCAGTCACTTGCTGAATTTCATCCATGCACATGGCTGGGTTGAGCAACCAAGAGGAAGGGCCGGGACGCGGAACGAGAAGAGGAGGCTCGGGTAGAGTGTGCAACTGAAGCTCCTCCTCTTCCTCCTGCTCCTGCTCCTGCTCCTGCTCCTGCTGCTGCTGCTGCTGCTGCTGCTGCTGCTGCTGCTGCTGCTGCTGCTGCTGCTGCTGCTGCTGCTGCTGCTGCTGCTGCTGCTGCTGCTGCTGCTGCTGCTGCTGCTGCTGCTGCTGCTGCTGCTGCTGCTGCTGCTGCTGCTGCTGCTGCTGCTGCTGCTGCTGCTGCTGCTGCTGCTGCTGCTGCTGCTGCTGCTGCTGCTGCTGCTGCTGCTGCTGCTGCTGCTGCTGCTGCTGCTGCTGCTGCTGCTGCTGCTGCTGCTGCTGCTGCTGCTGCTGCTGCTGCTGCTGCTGCTGCTGCTGCTGCTGCTGCTGCTGCTGCTGCTGCTGCTGCTGCTGCTGCTGCTGCTGCTGCTGCTGCTGCTGCTGCTGCTGCTGCTGCTGCTGCTGCTGCTGCTGCTGCTGCTGCTGCTGCTGCTGCTGCTGCTGCTGCTGCTGCTGCTGCTGCTGCTGCTGCTGCTGCTGCTGCTGCTGCTGCTGCTGCTGCTGCTGCTGCTGCTGCTGCTGCTGCTGCTGCTGCTGCTGCTGCTGCTGCTGCTGCTGCTGCTGCTGCTGCTGCTGCTGCTGCTGCTGCTGCTGCTGCTGCTGCTGCTGCTGCTGCTGCTGCTGCTGCTGCTGCTGCTGCTGCTGCTGCTGCTGCTGCTGCTGCTGCTGCTGCTGCTGCTGCTGCTGCTGCTGCTGCTGCTGCTGCTGCTGCTGCTGCTGCTGCTGCTGCTGCTGCTGCTGCTGCTGCTGCTGCTGCTGCTGCTGCTGCTGCTGCTGCTGCTGCTGCTGCTGCTGCTGCTGCTGCTGCTGCTGCTGCTGCTGCTGCTGCTGCTGCTGCTGCTGCTGCTGCTGCTGCTGCTGCTGCTGCTGCTGCTGCTGCTGCTGCTGCTGCTGCTGCTGCTGCTGCTGCTGCTGCTGCTGCTGCTGCTGCTGCTGCTGCTGCTGCTGCTGCTGCTGCTGCTGCTGCTGCTGCTGCTGCTGCTGCTGCTGCTGCTGCTGCTGCTGCTGCTGCTGCTGCTGCTGCTGCTGCTGCTGCTGCTGCTGCTGCTGCTGCTGCTGCTGCTGCTGCTGCTGCTGCTGCTGCTGCTGCTGCTGCTGCTGCTGCTGCTGCTGCTGCTGCTGCTGCTGCTGCTGCTGCTGCTGCTGCTGCTGCTGCTGCTGCTGCTGCTGCTGCTGCTGCTGCTGCTGCTGCTGCTGCTGCTGCTGCTGCTGCTGCTGCTGCTGCTGCTGCTGCTGCTGCTGCTGCTGCTGCTGCTGCTGCTGCTGCTGCTGCTGCTGCTGCTGCTGCTGCTGCTGCTGCTGCTGCTGCTGCTGCTGCTGCTGCTGCTGCTGCTGCTGCTGCTGCTGCTGCTGCTGCTGCTGCTGCTGCTGCTGCTGCTGCTGCTGCTGCTGCTGCTGCTGCTGCTGCTGCTGCTGCTGCTGCTGCTGCTGCTGCTGCTGCTGCTGCTGCTGCTGCTGCTGCTGCTGCTGCTGCTGCTGCTGCTGCTGCTGCTGCTGCTGCTGCTGCTGCTGCTGCTGCTGCTGCTGCTGCTGCTGCCTGCTGCTGCTGCTGCTGCTGCTGCTGCTGCTGCTGCTGCTGCTGCTGCTGCTGCTGCTGCTGCTGCTGCTGCTGCCTGCTGCTGCTGCTGCTGCTGCTGCTGCTGCTGCTGCTGCTGCTGCTGCTGCTGCTGCTGCTGCTGCTGCTGCTGCTGCTGCTGCTGCTGCTGCTGCTGCTGCTGCTGCTGCTGCTGCTGCTGCTGCTGCTGCTGCTGCTGCTGCTGCTGCTGCTGCTGCTGCTGCTGCTGCTGCTGCTGCTGCTGCTGCTGCTGCTGCTGCTGCTGCTGCTGCTGCTGCTGCTGCTGCTGCTGCTGCTGCTGCTGCTGCTGCTGCTGCTGCTGCTGCTGCTGCTGCTGCTGCTGCTGCTGCTGCTGCTGCTGCTGCTGCTGCTGCTGCTGCTGCTGCTGCTGCTGCTGCTGCTGCTGCTGCTGCTGCTGCTGCTGCTGCTGCTGCTGCTGCTGCTGCTGCTGCTGCTGCTGCTGCTGCTGCTGCTGCTGCTGCTGCTGCTGCTGCTGCTGCTGCTGCTGCTGCTGCTGCTGCTGCTGCTGCTGCTGCTGCTGCTGCTGCTGCTGCTGCTGCTGCTGCTGCTGCTGCTGCTGCTGCTGCTGCTGCTGCTGCTGCTGCTGCTCACTGAGCAGTTTGATAGAAGCGTACTGATCCCTTACCCCCATCCCCATCTCCACTCCTTCCTGATGCTCCTGCTCCAAACTTCTCCCCTCCCCACTGAGACCGCCAGCCATCACACTTCCTTTATCCACCACACTTCCTTTAATCAATACTCCATGCTCATTGTCTTTAAGGGTTATCAGTTCTCCCCTACGATTTCCGCCCTCCTTATTAATCCTATCTCCCCTGTTAATGCCCCCATTCAGCCTCTTCTCACCATCCCTTTTCGCACAGGTATTGTCGCTGTCACCGAAAATACGACTACCGCTGTTGCCACCGCTGTCGCTGCTGCTGCTATTGCTGCTGCTGGGACCGTTGCTGCTTGAGGTACTAACGCCAGTGCTGCCGCTGCTGCCGCTGCTGCCGCTGCTGTTCCAACTGCCAACACTCTTGTCTAACCCCGAAGGAAACCCCACGTATGGGCTATTACGGCATGCAAGTGGTGCAGTGAGCGAATCAGCATCCAGTTTGGGATGTGGAATTATGCCCTGTGTGCATGCATGTGCAGGTGCGTTCGACGCAAGAATGTGCGAGTCAGATTGAGGCAGTTTCGCAGCAGCGGCAGCAGAAGTAGCGGCAGCAGCAGTAGCGACAGCTGCAGTAGCGGCAGCAGTAAGAAACGGAGGAGGCGGGGAGGGAGGAGGAGAAAGAGCAGCAGCTGCAGTGACAGCAGCGGCAGCAGGAGGCATAAGAACGGGGTTGCTTGTCGTTCGACCAAGGTTGAAGCTGTGAGGACTCTCCCGCCCTTCCACCACCCTGCAAGCACCAAGAGAGAGAAGATAAGCAAGAGCGAGAGGAGAACTGGTTACTGGTAGCAACTGATGCTCACCACTCGCCCCACCCCAGGTGCGATAAATCAGCAACAACCCTCCCTCCCTCCAGTCACTTTGCCCTCCCTCCCTCCCTCCCTCCCCCCTTTTCTGCCCTCCCTCATCTCTTCCCTTCACCCCTCTCTTCCCTCATTGCCCTACACTCCCCTCCTTCGTCATCCCCCCTCCCCCCCCCCTCACATCACCCTCCCCTCCCCTCATTGCCCCTTCTCCCCCGACCCCCCCTCACCTCAGCGCCCTTGCTCTCCCCAGTGTGCGGTGCCTCCCCCCACCCCCCCTTCTCCAGCGCAGCCCCCGGGAGTGATGGCCCCTGCTGCCGCCCCTCCTGTCCACGTCCGGAGTGGTGAAATCAAAGTGGATGGCACGCGCTGTCAGCACCTGGGGGGCAAGTTTGGGGGGAGCGGGACAAGGGAGCGGGGGAGAGGGGGAAGCAGAGGGAGAGGGGGGAGAGTGGGGATGAGGGGGATTGGGGAGAGCGGGGTGTGAAGGCGGAGGATGCAAAGAGCGGGGAAAAAGGAAGGAAGGCGGTGGTGGAAGAGGAGAGTGGAAGCGAAGAGGGTTGACGGATGGAGAGGTGCACCAATGAGAGGTGTAACACGATGTAACAACGCAATGTAATAGTAATCGCACACCGAAGCAACGCAACACGGATTGCAAGGCCGACATGCCTGCACCACATCGCTGACTTTTGAGTCACAGACGTGCCCGCATCGCTGACTCAAAAGTCACAGACGTGCCCGCATCGCTGACTCAAAAGTCACAGACGTGCCCGCATTGCTGACTCGAAAGACACAGACGTGCCCGCATCGCTGACTCAAAAGTCACAGACGTGCCCGCATCACTGACTCAAAAGTCACAGATTGCTAGGCAGACGTGCTCTTACCGCATCGCTGATGGCCTTGGAGGTGAGGAGGAGAGAGGAGAGCTCGTGGTGGCGCAGACAGCAGACAATCCGCACCTGAGGGGGGGAATAGGGGGAAGAAGGCGGAGGGAGGGCGTGTGGCGGGAATGGGAGGGCGGAGCTTTTGAGACATCTCAAAACAGGAGGTGAGGAGGAGAGAGGAGAGCTCGTGGTGGCGCAGACAGCAGACGATCCGCACCTGACTCGGAGAGGGGGGAGCGAGGGCGGAGTTAAGGCGGAGGGGGGTTGAAGGCAGGGGGGGGGTAGGGCGTAGGTACAGAAGACAACGGAGGGAGGGATAAGAAAGAAATGCATCTAATTTGTTTTATGAATATTCTGTGCAGATTAAAGTATGGGCTGAAGACCTTTCTGCACAAAAAAAAATCACAAACGCACAAACATAACAAAAAATACAATCCACAAACGGCAATACACAAACCACACTTCCCTCCCCCTCAATCTTTCCACCGTGCCCCCATGCCCCCTTGCCCCCCTGTCCCCATGCCCCCTGTCCCCATGCCCCCTGTCCCCTTCCCCCCTGCTCCCTGCTCCCTGCTCCCAAGCCCTCATGCTCGCATGTGTTAAGAGCCCGCAGCACATACCACGACCTCCTGGGGCAAGTCTAGCAGCCCCAGTCCTTCCGCCCTCTCCCCCGTTCCCCCCACACTCAAGCTCCGCATTTCCGCCTCTGCTGCTTCCGTCTCCCCCTCCCAGTCCGCCTCCGCCTTCCCGCATCCGCTCTCCTTCCCCCAAGTTCCCCCAAATCGCGCGCCCTGCCCTTGCTCCTGCGCCTGCGCCTGCGCAACGCCTGTTCTCCGCCCGAATAAGCTCCGCGGGTTGCGCTGAAAGCGCAGGCGCGGAACGGCAGGGGGAGTGCGCGGTTCCGGGGAGGAAAAAGGCCCCGCAGACAGAGGGGGCAACCCAGCGGTTACCCGCGGAAGGCTCGCGGGGAGGGGGGGAAGACTTGCGGGGAGGGGCGGAATGGCGGACGGCGCGCGGGGAGCGGAGTGAGCGTGGGGCATGGCGGGCGACGGGAGGAGCGCGGGGGAGGGGGAGAGGGTTAACGACGGGGAAGGCGGGGCAACAGGAGATCTGAAACAGGGCGAGGCTGTGACATAGCTCGCTTGAAACATCGGGCTGCTAAAACGGTTTTCGGTAGAGGCAGCTATAAGACTGCCAGCAGCGTTGCCTATAGGACTAGGCGGGCCGCTCATTCCCCCGTCGAAGCCCGCTTCTCCGGCCGTTTCTCTGCCAACTTTCGCCTCGACGCGTGATCCCTCCTGCTGCTGCCATTGCTCCGATTGCGATTGCGATTGCGATTGCGATTGCGGCTCTTCCATCTGCGTCCTCTGCGCTAGCATATCCTTCCGCTGCGCCTCTTCCGTCAATCGCGTGTCACCCCACCGTATGGCACCCGATTGCCTTGTTGTATCTACTCTTTCCGCTTCCTCTATCCAGACCCCAAGAGCGCCTCTCTCCTCCCTCTCCTCTCGCGCCCCATTCTCCTCTCTCTCCCCCCTCTCCTCTCTTCCCCCCCTTTCTTCCACCTGCTCGTCTGTCGCTTCGCTCACAATGACCTGCGCAGCCGGAGTCGCTGGCGTCGCCGGAGTCGCCAGCGTCGCCCGCGCCGTCGTCTGAGTCGTCGCGCAGAATCGCAAGCATGGGGGAGCGGCGTAGAGCTTTCGCCGGTGCCTGTTCACGGGGCAGGACGCAAACGGCCCGCTAAACACTGCGGGAGGGGCGCGCAGCAATGATAAATCTACCGCACCTGGTGTTAACTGTTGTGGTGCTGCTGGGGGCGCTTCTGCTCCTGCCGGAATGACTGCCGCCGTTGCCGCTGCTGCTGCTGCTGCAGGATCAACCTCCGTTACAGCCTCGGTTACAACAGGAACATTCGCTACTACGACAGAATCCGCTAAAACAGACGTTAACCCAGTAGTGCTCGAGCGCGGAGCAGGCCAGGCTGATCGCGCTACTTGCCAGTCCGAGAGCGGAGCACCCGCGTTTGTTCCTCGTGACCTCGGGTTCCCCGCCAACCGGGGAATAGGGGCGGAAGGCGCAAGGGTGAGCGGAGCTAGGGGAGCCCCGGAGGACGCACCTCTCCGCGGAGCTGGGGATGGCGGGAGGTTGGGGGAGAGCGGAGAGAGCATGCGAGCGGAGCTGTAGCGAGCGCGCTTCGTTGCGAGGGTTTTACTCTCAAGCTTGTGCTTGATTGCGCCCGGGCGCACGAATCGTGGGGCGGCCGGGGCCGGCGCCGGACGGCAGCTTGTGTTGCCGTTGCACGCCGCGCGGTGATGGTGCGGCGGCCGCCGCCGCCGCTCCTCCTGCTGCTGCCGTTGCTGCTGCTGCCGCTGCTTCTGCTGCTGTAGCCCCTCCTTCTCCTCCACCACCATATGCTCCTGTCGCCTTTGCAGATCTACTTGGGCCAGCAGCGAATTGTCACCACCTCTCTCCACGTCCATTCCTAGATCCCGCGACCATGGCTGCTCACGCTGTCGGTCAAGCGCACTTGCACGCGCAGCAGCAGATACCTCTCCTTCTTCTGCTGCTTCCACTTGCTGCCGCGTGTCGGGTCCACGCAACGACTTCTCTTCCCCCTCCTTTCCCCCGTTTCCTTTCTTTTCCGCATTCTCCTCCCGCTCCTTCGCTTCCAAAACGGGATCCGTTCCTTCGCTAGATGGTGTAAACACCGCTTCGTTAGCGCCCGAGGTTTGGGGACTACACGCGGTCGCAATGCGCTCTTGTCGGGAAACGGATGTGGCTGCTGGGGGAACACGTAAGTGGTCCGCTGCAGAAGCTGCTGCTGCTGCGGCTGATTGTTCTGATGGTGCTGCGGGTGCTGTTGACACGATTAAAGGCAATGGTGATGAGAGCGGTTCTTGCCGCGATGGAACAGAAAGCAAAAGTGCTATGCCGCTATTACTATCCGCGTGCGCGCTTGACGCAGTGAACGGACTGTCCAGATTGTCCATGGTCGGCGGGACTGACGAAAAAGGTACAAAATCGACGACGTAGAATGGATGCTCGGGTATTGAGACCTTGTCGTTTCTAGGAAGGGTTCTGAGATGCCTCAAAACTCGTGCAGCGCTGTCAGTGCACGCATCGCGATGCGCCGCGAGGAGGAGAGGGACAGTATCAGATTCGTGAAACTCCGAATGCTTTCTGACATATCGAGAGCAAAATGCAAGGCGAAACGAGAGAAGTCGTTACTCATGTGCCCAAACGGATCTCGTAAAGCCGAGCTTGCTTTTGTGAGGATGACGCTTCTGTCTGGGATTACTGGGGTTTGCGTGAAGTTTGTTTTCATCAGCAAAGCAGGGCTGCAGGAAATCGAGCAACACAGCAGAGTTGCAAATGCATTTGTGATGGGACGGGAATGTGGGGAGGGGTTCCGCTTCGCTGACGGTGTTCGCGAAAACCAAGTTCGGCGAAAGCGGTGAATCAGAATTCAGGTTCGGTTCAAAGAGGTTTTTGAGTCCCGCGCGCGCTGCTGTGGTGTTCCCCTTCCCCCAAACCGACACCACATACTGTACTTCCTTGTTCCCCCATGCAATTTCTGTGGGGAAAGGATGGGGTGGGGCGGAGCTGACAGCTGTTTCCCTACGAGTCGGCATTCGGCGCAACATGGTTCCGCGTCTGGGGGAGTTTTGTTGTGGGTGGCAGGGGGAAACTCAAGCGCACGTAAAGCGGCACCTCCCCGCCCTGCGGTGTTGTGGTTGCGGGCTGGAAAATGTGCACCTGCTGTGTGGTGGTGCGCGAACGGAGGTGGTGCGGGTAGGCGCACGTAAAGCGGCACCTCCCCGCCTCGCGGTTGTGTGGTTGCGGGCTCGGGAGTCGGGGCGGGACAGGGAATCGACGCATGCTCTTTGGTGATGTGCGTGAATGGGGAAGGTGGAGCTTGATGATGGCGCAGCGGAGCGGTGAGTCTTTCTTGCTGGATGGGGGAACTTGCCTACGTGGATTCACGTCAGCGACGCTTAGGGGTGGGAGGCGATGGTGGTGGGCGGCCAGCGGGACAGACCCAAGAATATGCTCGTTTGAACCTTGCATTTGAATGGTCAAACTTCTTGGGAGCCAGGTCTGTGTCGCATAATCTCGATATAAGGTCGCACAACTTCGCTATACGCTTAAGAGAACATTGAAGAAGGGCAGAGATATAGTTCTAGAAACTGCAGAAGATTACCAAAGTGAAAATCGGCGCACTGTGACGGTTTGATTTTACCAGGAAATGCCATAAATAGAAATCTCACAGTGTTGAAACCGACCAAAAAAGAGTTAAGGTATTTTTCACTTTACAATATACATATGTATAGATATCACGCACCATTAGTATTTTAAAGAGCAAAAGTAATACTTGCTGAAAGCTGCACCGGGAGCTGGTTTACTGTACACACGGAAAATTGGTGTCTTCTTGGCCTTGGTTCTTTCGCAACAAGTCAAGCCAGTCATGCCCCTGCCTCCAAGCATCTCACATCATCAACTGACAGATGTTCTCATGAAAAGAACACGACGGAAGGAACATGTTCCTGATTCGCTGAACGGTGATTCGGGCAGCACCTGGAGTAGCAAACCGTCCATTTTTTCTGCCCCTCCTTCATTGCAACCTCGGAATCAGCGCGCGCGCGGCGGGAAATGGCACCGCTGAGCGGAGCCCGCTTGGTCAGCGCGGATTGCGCCAACCTTCTGCTTCCTCTGCGCCCTTCCAGCACCCACTGCCCTCTACTTCTCACAAGCAATTCACCTACATACATGTATTTGCTGACCATGTATTCACCATACATGTATTTACATAGTCAGAGCAAATTTCGCTTGAATCCAGCCGCTGCCACGAATTTTAAAGCTCGTGATTCTACAATATCATCCCTCGTTCGTTGTTGCCCTGGTTCCGTCCATTCCATCATTTTCTTGAATCCCTGTCCTTCGCCGACACAATCGAATGGCGCAGCTAACTCCACGACAAAAAGCTGCAGCTGGCGCGCTCTTCACATTCGCGCTCGCAGATTCCCTCAGCCAACGATCGCACGCTTTCGCACAGCCGTTCGCAGACCTTCCTCCGGCCGTCGCAGACGCAAGAAGCGGCTCTGGGAGCGGGCAGCGCGCGAGCGTGTGGGCAGAGGATCCGAGCGCGATACGGGTGTGCCAGCACGTGCTTAAGTGAGTTACTTAATCGCTCCAGAACTTCCGTCACGCGTTTAATTTGACTCGCGGGCCACTGGTCACGGCGGGCTGCCCTGAAAAACAACGACGGAAGTTTATATTATCTTTTGGCGAGCTCGATTGTAAGAGGAGAGTAGTAGCTGCTTGTGGAAGCAGGCAGTTGACGATGAAAATCCAGTACAGTGATATTTCATGAAAAAAAAACCGTTCTTGTGAGTCTGTCAGCAAAGTGATATTTCATTCTACCGCTCTCAGATGCCATCATCCGCTCACTGATATACTGTAGTTATGAAATCATGTATCCCTAGGTAGGACCCATTGCTTATTAATCTAAACCTGAAGCGTGGATTTCTTGACCTCCATGGCAGGTGTCTGAGTCTTTCCGAGGCCAACGCGCGCGCGTGCTGCCAAATGGCCAGCGCTGGACCGTCCTTAAAGCCCCACATTGAGAAGGTAGGTTCAGATAACCACATAAAAAAGGTAGGCCTAAAGCCTCACATTGAAAAGGTAGGTCAAATCATCCCCCCCCCCAACCCACCCCCCACGCCCCCCCCTCTCCCCCTTCCTTATTTCTTCTCCCCCCTTTCCCCCCCCCCCCCCCCTCCTTTCTTCTCCCCCCTTCTTCCCCCAGTTCCTGGGCGTGCTACTGCAGGAAAGCGCATCACTCCCCCCAGCGGAGAGGGAGAGGGTGGCGGCAGTGGCGGAGTGCGTGCGCGCACAGGCCTTGAAACTGCAGCAGCAGGCGCGGGGGAGGCGGGAGAGGGAGCGGAGGGAGGTGCGGAGGGCGTGGCAGGGGGAGAGGCAGCGCATGCATGAGGCTGCTGCTGCAGCGGCAGGGAGTGGGGGGTATGCGCGCGGAGGGGGGAGTGGTGGCGGGGGAACGGCGGGGGGAGGGAGGGCAGCGGGAGGTGGTGGTGCAGGCGGTGTTGGTGCTGGTGGGGTGGAGAGCGATTTCCAGCAGTTGGGGTTAGAGAAATCAGGAGCAGGAGCAGAGGCTGGGGCTGGGACAAAGGCAGGTGCAGGGGCAGGTGGTAAGAAAGCTGATGATTGGACAAAGGGATGGGGCCTGGACGATGGCTGGGATGAGAAGGAGAAGGTTGCAGGTGGGGGGAGTGCTGTGGGTGCTGGAAAAGTGGAAAGCACAGCTGGTGGTGCTGCTGTTGGTGGTGGTGGTGGTGGTGCTGCTGCTGCTGCTTCTGGTGCTGGTGCAGGTGGGGTTGGTGATACAGTGGGTTCAAATCAGCAAGCGATGGAGGAGAAGAGGAGAGAGGAGGAGAGGGAGAGAGAACGGAAGGAGAGCGAGAGGGAGAGAGAGAAGGAGATGGAAAGGGAGAAGGTGAGAGCGAAGGAGGCGGAAGAACAAAGAGAAAGGGAGCTAGAACTGGAAATGGAGCAAGAGAGAGAGCGATTGGCAAGAGAGAGAGAGACACAGAGGGAGCAGCATACGACAAAGAGCAAGGCGTGGGAGGGGCAGGAGGATGAGGAAGGGGAGGAAGAGGAGGAGTATATGATGAGAGGTGGCAGAAGGGGTGGAAGGGATGACAGGGTTGCAGCATCCAACCATCCTCCCTTTGCCTCTGGAGGGTTTTTTAATGGGGACGAAGAGGAGGAGGACGAGTGGGAGAGGGAAGGTTTTGGGGGGGCTGGGAGCGGGTTTGGAGGGGGGTTTGGTGGAGGGGGGTTCGCAGGAGGAGGGGGCTTTGGTGATGGGGGGTTCTTTGGGGGTGATGAGGAAGAGGAGGAGGACGAGGAAGGGGGTGGGTGGGGGCAGAATGCAGGGTCTGGTGGTGGTGTTGTTGCTGGTGGTGTCGGTGGTGGGGATGAGAAGGCGAGGCTTGGTGTTGAGCAAGGGGAGCAAGGGACAGGAGCTAGTGGTGGTGATGATGTTAAGAGCGATGAGGAGGATGGGAGGCCTGGTGCTGTTACTGCTGCACCTGCTGCCGCCGCTGCTGCCGCCACTCCCTCGGCCGCTGCTTCTGCTCCTGCTGCTTCTGAGGGATCTTCTGAGAAGGTGGACGGGTCTAAAACGTCTTCTAACGCATCCAAGGTGGACGAGGCAGAGAAACAAGTTGGAGTCTTGACTTCTAAGGAAGATGAATGTGCAGCTTCAACAGGTAACCGAGAAAAAGCAGGAGGAGATGAAGGAGAAGAAGAAGAAGAAGAAGAAGAAGAAGAAGAAGAAGAAGAAGAAGAAGAAGAAGAAGAAGAAGAAGAAGAAGAAGAAGAAGAAGAAGAAGAAGAAGAAGAAGAAGAAGAAGAAGAAGAAGAAGAAGAAGAAGAAGAAGAAGAAGAAGAAGAAGAAGAAGAAGAAGAAGAAGAAGAAGAAGAAGAAGAAGAAGAAGAAGAAGAAGAAGAAGAAGAAGAAGAAGAAGAAGAAGAAGAAGAAGAAGAAGAAGAAGAAGAAGAAGAAGAAGAAGAAGAAGAAGAAGAAGAAGAAGAAGAAGAAGAAGAAGAAGAAGAAGAAGAAGAAGAAGAAGAAGAAGAAGAAGAAGAAGAAGGGAAAGCCAAGGCAATCGAATCTGGAGGGTCAGAACTACCTGTGTCGTTTGGACCAGGGCAAGGAGCAGCAACTGAAGCAACAGCGTCAGCAGCAGCGGCGGCACCAGCAGCAGCATCAGCAGCAGCGCCGGCAGCAGCACCGGCAGCCGCAGCACCAGCAGCAGCAGCAGCACTACAAGCCACTCCGCCACAGCCCACAGTCCCTCAGAATCCCGCATTAAGAGTAGCTCCTCAGCCAACCCGGCCTCCAGCAGAAGTTATTCGTGAGCCCGTGCCGTTTGCAGCGGCAGTGACAGGTATTCCCGAGGACGAGCGCATTGCGATACTATGGGAGCTGTTAACTGCATTCATGTCAGATGAACGCGCTTCTGGTGGCGCTGCTGCCGGTGGTGCTGGTGGTGCTGGTGGTGCTGCTGCTGGTTCGGGAGCAGGGGATGCAGCAGCGCAGAGCGTGCAGGGGGGAGGGTATGATTCCCGCGAGCGCACAGCGCTTCGGCTCCTGGCGCTCTGGTTGCAGCTCGACTGGTCCCTCGTGGTACGTGCCATGCCGTGCCATGCTTTGAGACGTCTTAGAAATCGTCAGCCTGTGCATGGCACATGACATTCTAGCTTCTGGCCCTGTCCTGCCCTCCTGACCCCCTCAAGCCCCCCTTTCCCCCCCATCAGGCTGCAATGGAGCGCTTACTAGCAACAGCAGCATACAACGCCCAAGTGCAAATCGACCAGGCAGCAGCAGCAGCCGCAGCCGAGAAAGCCAAGGCAGCACAGGCAGGCAACCGCAAGTGGGGCGGGTGGGGGCGAGCGGTCAGCATAGGCGCAGCGGCAGTGGGAACAGGCGCGCTGCTGGCTGTGACGGGGGGGTTGGCTGCGCCTGTGCTGCTGGCGGGGATGTCTGCTGCTGGGTCGATGATTCCGGTGGCTGGGGGGATTATCACCGGTGCTGCTGCGCTGGCTGGGACCACTGTGGGCTCTGCTGCTGTCATTGGCGCCTTTGGTGGTGAGTGGGTGGGGGGTGGGGACGGGGGATGGAAGAGGAGAGGAAACAGCGGTTTGATGCTCTGTGAAGGGTTGAAAACTGTGTAAGTGGTTTGGGCTTTGGGGGGGTGGGGGATTGGCATAGGCGCGGCAGCAGTGGGAACAGGCGTGCTGCTGGCTGTGACGGGGGGGTTGGCTGCGCCTGTGCTGCTGGCGGGGATGTCTGCTGCTGGGTCGGTGATTCCGGTGGCTGGTGGGATTCTCACTGGCGCTGCTGCGCTGGCTGGGACGACTGTGGGCTCTGCTGCTGTCATTGGCGCCTTTGGTGGTGAGTGGGTGGGGGGTGGGGACGGGGGATGGAAGAGGAGAGGAAACAGCGGTTTGATGCTCTGTGAAGGGTTGAAAACTGTGTAAGTGGTTTGGGCTTTGGGGGGGTGGGGGATTGGCATAGGCGCGGCAGCAGTGGGAACAGGCGCGCTGCTGGCTGTGACTGGCGGGTTGGCGGCCCCTGTGCTGCTCGCGGGGATGTCTGCTGCTGGGTCGATGATTCCGGTGGCTGGTGGGATTATTACTGGCGCTGCTGCGCTTGCTGGGACCACTGTGGGCTCTGCTGCTGTCATTGGTGCCTTTGGTGGTGAGCGGGGGGTGGGGAAGGGAAGAGTGGGAGGGAGCAGCGGGGTTTGATGCCCTGGGAAGGAGGGAGGGATTTCTGTGATTTGGTGAAGGCAGCTTTGACTTGACCTGACTGCTCTCGCTACCACCTGTGCATCCGCTCTTGTACCGCCCGTGCATGACTGCTTGGGAACGGGGAGGCATCTGCAGACGTCTCAAAAGCTGACCGCTCTCGCTATCGCCCGCGCATGACTGCTTCGGAACGGGGAGGCTTCATCTGAGACAATCCAGTTCCGACCTGTCCCCTCCCTCCCCCTGCTACTTCCCCTCCCCCCTATTGAATGCTCAGCGGGGGGAGCCCGCATGAGTAGCTTCTTGTAGAGGCTCAAAATACAGGTCGGAACGAGGCTCCCGATCAGCTTCTTGTAGAGGCTCAAAATACACCTCATTGCAGGGGGAACGGTTGGGGACGAGGCGGTGGTGGTGTGGTGACACAACACCAGTCCGTGGGAGCTGGGAAGGAGAGCGGAAATATGGATGGGACGGAGGTCGTTGACTTGCTCGAGATTTCGAACTCTACGGATACATACCTAATAGATGCAAGTGCCGTGATGGAGACAGTGGCCGAGATGGAGATAGCGGCCCTGGTGGATGGAATGGCCCTGTTCAACGCAGCGAATATTTCCGTTCAAGCTTGTCAATGGGACGATGCTGCAGACAGTGCTTTTGTTGAGAGGGATTGCAATTCACCCCGCTTCCCCACCCCTTGTCCTGTCCTGTCCTGTCCCCCCCTCTTCCCCACCCCCTTCCAGCTGTTCAGTTGTGGGAGTGCGCATGGGTAGCTGATGGTGTGGCGGTTAGGTGATGTGGAAGAGTTCAAGTTCGTGCCACTCGCCAATGCTGATGCTGTTGCCCCCCTTCGCCCTCCTGCTGTTGCCCCCCCCCTTGCTGTTGCCCCCCCCCTTGCTGTTGCCCCGCCCTCCCCTCCCTGCTGTTCCCCGCCCTCCCCTCCCTGCTGTTCCCCGCCCTCCCCTCCCTGCTGTTCCCCGCCCTCAATTGTTCAGCCGCGGGTGCCCGCATGGGCAGCTACAAGATGGCGCGGCGCCTGGGAGACGTGGAGGAGTTTAAATTCGTGCCTCTGGCCAATGCTGATGCTGTTGCTGTTGCCCCCCTGCTGTTGCCCCCCCCGGGCCCCCCCTGCTGTTCCATCCCCTCAGCCGCGGGTGCCCGCATGGGCAGCTACAAGATGGCGCGGCGGCTGGGAGACGTGGAGGAGTTCAAGTTCGTGCCACTCGCCAATGCTGATGCTGTTCGCGCCATGGGCGTTGCTGCGGGGCGACAAGGAGGGGGAGGGGGAAGAGGAGGAGGGGAAGCGGGTGGAGGAGGGGGAGGGGGACGAGGGGGAACGGTGGACATGTGGGGGAGACCTTTTGGTGGTGCTGGTGGTGGGAGAGGAGGAGGTGGTGGTGGGGATGAGGATGGCGTTGGGGTGAGTATCGCAAATGTTGCATGAGAGGCCATGCACGCACAAACTCACACACACACACGCGCGCGCGCACACACACACACACACACACACACACACACACACACACACACACACACACACACACGCACCTCTTTCTACGCCCATGCAACTGGGTGACCCTCCCCCCATTCCCCTCCCTTACAACTTCCCCCACACCCCTTCCTTGCTGTTTTCCTTGCTGTTTCTCTGACCGTTTTGCTCCTTATGCTGAGCCCAAGGCCTATACCCAAACCCTGGCCCAAACTTTCAACCAGAACCCCAAACCCAAAACCCAAAACCCCGCCCTACCCTGTTGCAGAAGCTATCGGTGGCAGTGGTGGCAGCAGGGTATGTGCTGAACCCCAAGGACTTTGTCGAGCCGTGGCTGTCCCTGCCCACTGACACTGAACAGTGAGTCGCTGGCAAGGCATATGGTGTGGTATGGGACGGCATGGCATGGCATGGCATGGCATGGCTGGCATGGCATATGGTGTGGTATGGCATGGCATGGCATGGCATATGGTGTGGTATGGGATGGCATGGCATGGCATGGCATGGTATGGCAAATGGTGTGGTATGGGATGGCATGGCATGGCATGGCATGGCATGGCATGGTATGGCATATGGTGTGGTATGGGATGGCATGGCATGGCATGGCATGGCATGGCATATGGTGTGGTGTGGGATGGCATGGCATGGCATGGCATGGCATATGGTGTGGTATGGGATGGCATGGCATGGCATGGCATGGTATGGCATATGGTGTGGTATGGCATGGCATGGCATGGCATGGCATATGGTGTGGTATGGGATGGCATGGCATGGCATGGCATGGCATGGCATGATGGCATGGCATGGCATGGCATGGCATGGCATGGCATGATGGCATGGCATGGCATGGCATGGCATGATGGCATGGCATGGCATGGCATGGCATGGCATGGCATGATGGCATGGCATGGCATGGCATGGCATGATGGCATGGCATGGTATGGTATGGTATGGCATGGCATGGTATGGCATGGCATGGTATGGCATCCAACAGGGGGCAGCCAGCCGACATGATCCTTGATGCTGTTGATGAGAGATTTCGTGGCAATTAGCATGTCCTGAACTCCCCGTATTCATTAGCTGTATGTAACAGCCATCATTCTCCCTCCCTCCCCTCCTCCCAACACTTGTCCACTTCCTCTCTCTAATCGTTCTCTCTCCCTCCCACTCACATTCCCACCCTTCACCTCCCCCCTCGCTCCCCTCTCCCTCTCACCTCACTCTCTCACGCGCACAGGTTCGCGGTGGTGTGGCAGTCAGAGGATCTCGTCACATCAGGCAGGGCCATCAACGACTGGCTCATGTCCAGTTGAGTGCTCAGCATCAGCGTGTGGATTGTTTGAGTGTGGAGCATTTGAGTGAGGAGCAAGCAAGGTGACTCTTGAGTCGACTGGAGGGGCCCAGTAAACCTTATCACATCAGGCAGTTGTAAAAATCACATATTTCTGGTTAGTACTGTAGGCTATGTAGGGTTGCTCCATAGAAGGTACACATTTGCGTAAATTCTTGTACAGATCTAATTTCTAGCAATTCAATTCAGTACTCTCGTTAACAGCAGAGCGATCAAGGACTGGCTTATGTCTTTGAGTTTTGGGGATTTTATAGTGGGCCGTTTGAGTAGGGAGTGTTGATGGTGGCAGTACAGGTGCTGGGGGAGAAACTGCTTATATGGGGGCTGAACTCGACTGACACTGACACATGCACTGCACCCATCCACACCCATCTGCACCCCTCTCCCCTCTTCTTCGTTACACCAGCGGCGGTGCAGCTGTCAGTGGCAACCGGGGGAGCGATGGTGGCCGTGCAGGTGCTGGGGCCGGCTGCTGCTGCTTCACATCAAGTCAACTGAAACATGCACCATTCTTTCTCCCCCCTACACCCATCTTTCACCGCTCCTTTTCACCCTCTCGTCCTCTCTCCTCCCTGTTTCTCCAGGTGCTGGGGGCGGCTGCTGCTGCTTTGCTTCAAGTCAACTGAAACATGAACCATTATTTCCCCCCCCCTTCCGTTTCTCCAGCGGCGGTGCAGCGGTCAGTGGTGACGGGGGGAACGATGGTGGCGGTGCAGGTGCTGGGGGCGTCTGTCATGTGGCCCATCACGCTGCTCACTGCCGCTGCTTCCATTGACGACAAGTGGAGCGTTGCTGTCAACCGGTGAGGAGAGGAATGACATTAGGGATGGGGATGGGGATGGGGATGGGGAAGGGGATGGGGAATGGATGTGACGTCTGGAGAGGAAGGGGCGTTGGAATAGGAAGGGAAGGGGCGTCTGTCATGTGGCCCATCACGCTACTCACTGCTGCTGCTTCCATTGACGACAAGTGGCGTGTTCCTGTCAACCGGCGAGGAGCATGGGGATGGGATGGGACGCTGGGCAAGGAGGGAATGGTGGGTATGCTTGGCATATCACCACTGCTGTTGTTTCTTTGATCGGCGACGGTTGGATATTGAGAACACATGGACAGATTAATCTGTTCCTTTCTTTCTCCCACCCGCCTCACCTGGTATATATAATCTGTCCGTGTTTTCATCTCTGGGTGCTCCCTGCCCTCGTCTGCACGCCGATTTTTTAGTCGACTAGAAAATCCGACTTATCATGCTCTGCACACCGATGCTCCCTCCTCTGCTCTGCTCTGCGCTGCCCTGCTCTGCTCTTCTCTCTGCTGTGCTCTGCTTTCCCCTCTGCCCTTTCTACTGTGTGGCACACTTCAGTCCACTCATACCACACTCATGTGTGTGTGCGTGTGTGCATGTGTGTGCGTGCGCCTGCGTGTGAATGCATGTGTGCGTCTGTGCCTGTGTGTATGTGCATATGTGTGCATGTGTTGTGTGCGTGTGTGTGTGTGTGTGTGTGTGTGTGTGTGTGTGTGTGTGTGTGTGTGTGTGTGTGTGTGTGTGTGTGCGTGCGCGTGTGTTTCTGTGTGTGCACGCGCGCGCGTCTGCGTGCGTGCGTGTTCATGTGCATGCGTGTGTGCCTGCATGTGTGTCTGCGTGTGTGCGTGTATGCATGAGTGGCAACACCAGCACGGACAAGGCAGGGGCAGTTCTGGCAGATGTGCTGTTGGAAAGAACTCAGGGATCCAGGTGCGGCCTCCGTTCCGTTTCCAGCCTAAAGCCACGTCTTTGTATTGAGATTCATTCTGAGCTGACTCATCAGAAGATTACTGTGGGACTTTTGAGGCGCCTCAAAAGTAGCCTAAACCACGTCTTTGTATTGACATTCATACTGAGTTGACTCATCAGAAGATTACTGTGGGAGCAGACACACCTCTACGTTCTAAACCAGGCACGGCTCTATGTCCTGTAATGCTGACTGTCTTTCAAAAACCTCTTCTTTCCTCCTCTTAGCGAATCCTCTCGTCCCACCAACCCAGACCAGTGACACTGATAGGCTGCTTCTCACTGATAGGCTGCTTCTCACTGATAGGTGTTTGTCTCATCTTCTCCTGCCTCTCCCAGTAAACCCACACGCTTTTCCCACTCCTCTTCCTCTCCCCCCAACCCTGTCCTCCACCCTCCGCCCCTCTCCCCCACCCCCTTACAGGCCAGTGACGCTTATAGGCTTCTCTCTGGGCGCGCGTCTCATCTTCTCCTGTCTCACCAACTTACACATACTCTTTCCCCAACCTGTTACCCCACCCTCTCCCCCACCCCCTTACAGGCCAGTGACGCTGATAGGCTTCTCTCTGGGCGCGCGTCTCATCTTCTCCTGTCTCACCAACTTACACATACTCTTTCCCCAACCTGTTACCCCACCCTCTCCCCCACCCCCTTACAGGCCAGTGACGCTGATAGGCTTCTCTCTGGGCGCGCGTCTCATCTTCTCCTGTCTCACCCACCTCGCTGCTAAAGGCCACGCTGCCAGTAAGCTCCCTCCCCTTGCCTCCATCCCTTTCTTTGCACTCATCTTCCCATTGCTTTCCTGCCCATCCTTTTCCCCCACTCCTCCTCCCAGCCTCCTTACCCCCCCACCACCCCGCACCCACTTCTCTTTCCTCCTCCCCCTCTTCCTCCCCCCCTCCGTCTCTTCCGTTTTTCCACCTTTTCCCCTTTGCGTTGGTCTTATCTTTTCCTGTTTGCCTACCTTTTCTGCTAAGGCCCATTCTGCCAGTGATCCTCCCACCCGCCATCCCCTGTTCCCCCTCCCCTATTCCGTGCCCCTCAGTTCCCATTCCCCCCCCTCTCCCGGCCCACTCAATTGGCAGTGGGGTTGGTAGAGCGGGCAGTGTTACTGGGAGAGCACCAGTGGACAGCACATCACATCACAGATGGCTTATGAGAATTCTCAACCTCCCCCCCTTTCTCCCTTACCCCTTCCTTGCCCTCTCGATCGGCAGTGGGCGTGGTGGAGCGGGCAGTGTTACTGGGAGAGCACCAGTGGCAGCACCCTCCCGTTTCCCCACCCTCCGCCCAGAACAGCTAGTTCTTGCGAATCCTTACAAGCCCCTCTCATCTCTCACCCCCCTCCCCACGCCCCCCTCGATCGGCAGTGGGCGTGGTGGAGCGGGCAGTGTTACTGGGAGCGCCAGTGGCAGCACGAGACAGCTCCGCATGGGAGGCAGCGCGACGGGTGGGAACAGGGGAGAGGGGCAGGGGAAGAGGGGGGTGGGAAGGGGAGAGTGAGGAGGAGTGACGGTGGATAGTGGGGGGGGGGGGAGGGTGAAGTGGAGGAGTGAGGGGGGAGAGTGGAAGGGGGGAAATAAGGTGGGGAGTGGAATGGGAGGGGAAGAGGAGGGGTTCACAGGGGAATGGCACGTTTGTTGCTTGTCTTTTCCTTTGTGCTTTCCCTGCTTCTACGTTTGCTTTGTAGTTCAAACCCCTTTTGAGGCTCTGCAAGCCAAGACAGCTTTCAACATGCACTACCCATCATTACCTCCCTCGCATCTGCCCCCCACTGGATTTCAGAGGGCGGTGACATCTGCCCCCCTTTATCAGTATACAGAGGCTACTGCTATCTGCCAGTGCCTCCCCTCACTCTCTCCCTGATGTACCCTTCCTCTCTCATCCCTCCCTCTCTGTCTTCCCTTCCTTACACGCCCACACCACTCCTCAGGTTGTCTCGGGTCGTTTGGTGAACGGCTACTGTGAGAAGGACTGGGCGCTGGGTCTCATGTACCGCACTAGGTATGCTTTTGATATCCTTGTGGCTTTTGAGTCGACTCAAAAGCTGCTGCTTGTTGAACGGCTACTGTGAGAACTTGAGAACGACTAGGCGCTGGTCTCATGTATCGCACTAGGTATGCTTTCTCCTTGTATTCACTCACGGTTCGACACTCCATACCCTACATTCTAGACTCTTCACTCTAGTCTAGAGTGTCAGAACAACAAGCTTGGCGCTGGGCCTCACGTATCGCACCAGGTATGCTTTCCCCTCGCACCAACTCAAGATTCCACACTCCGGACACAAGACACGATTCCACACTCCAGACACAAGACACGATTCCACACTCCAGACACAAGACACGATTCCACACTCCAGACACAAGACACGATTCCACACTCCAGACACAAGACACGATTCCACACTCCAGACACAAGACACGATTCCACACTCCAGACACAAGACACGATTCCACACTCCAGACACAAGAAACTTGACTCTAATCTCTTGTCTAGGGTGTGAGAATGACTGGGCGCTGGGTCTCATGTATCGCACCAGGTATAGTTTCCCACGTACCCGCCCGCTCTTGTCTTTAAAAGCCACACTCTAGGACTTGGTTCTAGTCTAGCGTCTAGGGCTAGGGGGTTTTGATTCCCGCTCAGGTTGGATTGGGATGGTTGGGTGAGTTCGCTTCACACTCTATCCGTCCTGCCTATTTGATTCCCATTGTGTGTAAACCTACCGTTCTGTGTATGTTTCGCTCTTTCTCTTCAATCCCTTACTCAAATTTCCGTCATTCCTTCTCCTTTCCCCCCTCCCTCTGCTCCACCCATCAACCCGCCTAATCTCCCTCCCTCCCTACCCCTACCTCCCTCCTGTACGGTCCACTCACAGTTTCCTGCTTTCAGGAGTTGCAGGCATTCAAGCGGTCAAGGTTAAGGGAGTTGAGAACGTAAGCCACTCTCCTCCTCATTGCTCCTCCCTTTCCTTCTCTCCCCTCGCTCTTCTCTCCTCCCATTTCCTCCTCTTCGATTCACCGTTATTGATTGTCCTTTCCTCCGCTTCAGAGGTACTACAGCATTTTCAGTGGTACTACAGCATTTTCAGTGGTACTACAGCATTTTCAGTGGTACTACAGCATTTTCAGTGGTACTACAGCATTTTCAGTAGTACTACCGCGTATGAGCTTCCTACCCTCTGCAACTGCAACTTTACCCGTTGAATGTTCCCCTTGTTCTTTCCCAGGTGCCCCCATCCTTTCCCAGCACACTTCTCTTGCCTCCTCTCCGTCCATGCTTCCCCCGTACAGTCCTGATGCCTCTCCCCCCTCCGTCTTGCACGCTATACAGGTGGATCTCACGCCTCTCATCGACGGACACACGAGCTATCTGTCGGGAGTGCCAGCCATTTTGGATGCTTTGAGCATCGACTCTCCGCTCGCGGCCACGCCTGCGGACGTGCTGCGAGCCGCTAAGGAGTGGAAGGAGGAGGAGGAGAGCCTCATCTGAGACTGCGCTCTGGGTATACTTGTTCTGAGTATTCTCTAATGTGGGGTGCACATGGAATGTTAGCCGTTCTCAATGCCCTGCGCATCGACTCTCCTCTCTCTGCCACACCTGGAGGTGCTGCGAGCTGCCTTATCTAACTCCACCTGGGTTACCATACTAGTTCTGTGCATTTTCTGTTGAGTTGAGCATACGATACGACACGACACAAACTCCCTACCTGCCAGGACAATGCTCCTCCGTGTTTCCTTCAGTTTGCAATTTTCTTTGTAGGGGCCCTTATGCTTTTCCGTTATTCCGGAATTCACACAAGGGGCTTGGTGGAAAGAGGGATAAGTAGGCCTCATGTGACAATTTCATGCGCACCGCAATTCAACATGTGGGATGGGAAAGAAAGGGCTTCATCATTGTTTGGGAAGCAGCACAGTTGTGTATGAGGTGAGGTGAGGTAATCCTTTCCTCAACTGGCCCTTGGTTTTATCCCGAGACAGCATTGTCGCAAACAGTAAGCTCCACCTTACATTGTTGGACTGTCTTGGTCACATCACATGCAGTTATGTACAAGCGAGCAGGAAACTAAAGCAAGGTAGGCTGTGAGTTGCGATTTGTGTGACTGGCGACAATAAGAAACGATGAAGAGTTGCTAGGATAGAGCAGGCCAAGATGCCGGCACCCATGGACCAAACGAGCCATCTAAGAGCCGCTCCACTCTTGTTACAAGCACTTTCACAGTATCATCGGGCATGTTGCCTATGCACTGCACAATACAGGGGAGCACAGGAAGAGGAGCAGCCTCGGATATGGTAAAAACTAATGCACAGGGGATGAAAACAAAAACCATCTGGAAAAGAAGAAAAGAAAAAGAAATACTAAACCAGAAAGGACCCCAAACTGGGAAAACAAAATTAGCAGCAAATTGCTCAGAATACTTCTACTTACCTGAGCTTTGGTTATATGTGGATGCCACACTATCACTGCTGCTGTTCCCAAACAAGGCACATCGCTTCTTCCTTCAACCCCTTTAATCTCTCTGCTTGCCCTCCCTTCACTCTCCACCTCCACCCATCCTTCTCCTTCCTCCTGCTGCTCCTTCCCTCTCTCCTCCCTTCTCTCCACCCGATTCTCTTCTCTACCGCCGTACCCTTCTCCACCGCTCAACTCCTTATCCTCACTTATTCTCCTTCCTTTAGCTCGTGGGGAGAAGAGGGAGAGCACGGAAAGCCATGCCTGGTGTTTCGACGAGTCAACCTGAGTCCAGGGACGGACGAGGGAAATAACATGATACCGGGGACACGACGGATGAGGGAGAGGTGGAGAGGGGGATGCGAAGAACAATCTTATGCTGCTGGAAGGCAAGGGCACCAAGCACGTGATGCAAGGAAGGTTGATGCAAGGAAGGTTGATGCAAGGGAGGTTGATGCAAGGGAGGAGGATGCAAGGGAGGAGGATGCAAGGGAGGAGGATGCAAGGGAGGAGGATGCAAGGGAGGAGGATGCAAGGGAGGAGGATGCAAGGGAGGAGGATGCAAGGGAGGAGGATGCAAGGGAGGAGGATGCAAGGGAGGAGGATGCAAGGGAGGAGGATGCAAGGACAGAACCGTGCCAACAGATTGAGATACGATAAGCATAGCGGACGCAAGAACAGGCGAGAGCGCGGGAAATGAGAAGGAGGGCGGATGAGAAAGGGTGGCATGAACGGGGTAGTTGTGAGGAAAAGCAGGGTTAAGGTGGTGGTAGGGTCCCAGGAAGAGCTTACAGAGGAAAAGACAAGCCTTGGTTCTTTTGCAAAGGATGCGGCCACCTGCAACGGGTCACAGGGGACAGGGATGGGGACGAGGACAAACAGAGCCCCATGTCGGAGCCATGGTGTCAATACATGGCATTTGCTTAGGTAACAGCACTAGCTTAGGCAGTGGGCCACAGGGGACGGGGATGGGGACGAGGACGAAAAGAGCCCCATGTCGGAGCCATGGGCTAAAAGCGCCAGCATAGGCAGTGGGCCACAGGGGATGGGCACGGGGATGGGGATGGGGATGGGGATGGGGATGGGGATGGGGATGGGGATGGGCATGGGGATGGGGATGGGGATGGGGATGGGCATGGGGATGGGGATGGGGATGGGGATGGGGATGGGGATGGGGATGGGGATGGGGATGGGGATGGGGATCGGGATGGGCACGGGGATGGGGATGGGGATGGGGATGGGGATGGGGCCAGCCTCGCACAGCCTCAGCCGTACCTCTCTGTAGTTAGTCAGAGCAGCGTCTTTCTCAGACTGGGCACAGTCTCGCAGCACCATCACCACTGCATATGGCGCCAGGTTACCATTGCTCAGAGACATGCTGCTGCTGCTGCTGCTGCTGCTGCTGCTGCTGCTGCTGCTGCTGCTGCTGCTGCTGCTGCTGCTGCTGCTGCTGCTGCTGCTGCTGCTGCTGCTGCTGGTGCCGCTGGTGCTGGTGCTGGTGCTGCTAGCTCGTTTATCAGCAGGCAACCACCAGCAATCCGCGTTAGATGAAAGTTCCACCACTTCTCCACCCTCCCTTCTACCTTGCTTCGCCCTCCCTCTGCTTCCGCCGCCACTGCTCCTCACACCACTCCGTGCCACCTCACCCCTGCTACTACTACTGCTACCCCTGCTGCTGCTGCCACTGGTATCCATGCTGCTGCAGTGAACGCTGCTCAGAGCATCACAGGTAACTCTGGAAAGAGGTGGGTGGTAGTCAGACGAGGGGTGGTGAGTCAGACCAGTGGGACCATGCTCCCACATATTCAGTCGCTTCCTCTGCCACGCTCTCTGTACAGACTCCTGTGCTGCTCTTGCTGCATTCTCTGCTGCCCTTGCCTCTTCTCTCTTCTTTACCCATCGCCCCTTCTGCTGATCCACTCCCCATCCCTCTCCCTCCTCCTCCCCATCCTCCGCTCCTTCCTCTTCTTCCTCTTCCTCCCCTTCCTCCTCTTCCTCCTCCTCCCCTTCCTCCTCCTCTGTTACTCCCATCCCCCCCAGTCCTGTTGCGGGTGCACTGGAAGGAGCACCTAAGCACGTGCCAATAGTGTAGATCACAACGAGCGTTATGAAGGCAGACAATAGCGGGGATGAAATAGCCTCCCCTAGCGGCTCCCCTAGAAGCAGCTCCAGAGTGTGCTTGCAGGCATAGAAGGATTGCCAGAGGAAGGAGAGGAGGGCGGAGGGGAGGAACCAGGCGGGTATAGAGGAGGAGGAGGAGGAGGAGGAGGAGGAGGAAGAGGCGGAGGGAGAGAGAGTGTGATCCCACCAGGTGTTTGGATGGGCCAGGGCGGGGGGTTGCTGCTTGAGAGCTCGGAACTGCATAGGATAGAGAGAGGGAGATGGGGCCAGGTGGATAGGTAGGTGGGTGGGTGGGTGGGTGGGTGGGAGGGAAGTATGAGTTCTGGTGAGTTGTGAGGGGCAGCACAATACACGGCATGTGTATGGGGTGTGGGAATGTGTAGTGGTTATGCGCATGGGCATGGGCATGGGCATGGGGATGGGGATGGACATGGGCATGGGGATGGGAACGCATATCTGGTATTGGACATGAGCTTATCACCTGAGGATGCACGAGATCATGTGATTCGCTGCCTCCTATGAGATCTGACAGCCACTCAAACACCTGATGTGGGTATGGTGGAAAGGGAGGAGAGGAGGACGGACGAGAACGAGGAGAAGAAGAGGAGTTGGAGGAGAAAGAAGAAAGGGAAAGTGTGAGATGAGCAAAGCAGATAAGTACAGAGGGTATAAAAAAGGGTAGGCTCCACCAGAACCTGAAAGTCTAACCTTCTAGCATCACCAAGCCATTCCAAACATCGTCAAACGTGCTTGCATCACACTTACCTAGTCAACTCAACACTGCCTCATGTGATTGATTCATCCACAAACGCCCCGGATACTCCCATAAGGTGATTCACTCACCTCTCCTGCACCCATCAACGGACAGTCATCTCCTCCCCCCCCATCACTCCGTCGTGTTCCTCTCCCTGCTGCCCTCCCCCCTCCTGCCTTCCTTCGTAACACAGCCACATGCTGCGACACCCTCCTCTGATTCCCCCCGCCCTTCACCCCCTCTCCTCCTAACTCTCCCCACCTTGCTCCCCATCCTCCTCTTCCTCCCTTTCCGCCTTTTCCTCCTCGCACTCCCACGTGTTGGTGTCGCAGCAGCACGACAGCAGGACAAGCGCCTGTTCTCATACTTGCTTTGCCATCTCCGGTTTCTTTTCCCCACCTGCCCCAGCTCCATCCAGCAATCAGAGAGCTTTTCGGCTGCCCGATCGGAAAGAACGGAGAGCCGAGAAAGTGGAGAGAGAGGGAGTTGGTATAGTCTTGAAAGGAGGAGGAGAGGGAGGAGAGGAGGTGGGAGGAGAGGAGGAGAAGTTGGTCGAGATAGTGTGTGGTGTAGTGTGAGAGAGAGGGGGAGGAGCAGAGGGAGAGGATGGGCGGGGGAGGGGCGAAGGGCGAGAAAGGGAGGTATCGGAGGATTGAGGAGGAGAGACGTGAGAGGGGAGATGGAAGGACGCGGAGAAGGGGAGAGAATATCTGGAAGAAAAGTTGTGCGAGTTGAGTAATGGTTCTAGGCAGGAAGTGAGCGTGAGCGTGAGCGTGAGCGTGTGAGCGAGTGTGAGAGTGAGTGAGAGAGTGAGGGGAGAGGGAGAGGAGGAAGCGGCAAACAGCTGGCTGCTGAGAGGCATCAAGCCAAGAGAGGAATAGGCGGTGGGAGGAGAAGGCAGTGTAAGGGGACGAGGAGGCAGAGGATGGCGGGTTGTCGAGAATTCGCTTCAGCTTGCGGATCTCCTGTTGAATGGCAACGGGTGGGCACGGGGTGCGCACAGGATGGGAACGAGATGAGGCAAGGGATGAGCAATTGCAAGGAATGTGCGGGATGGTGAGTAGGGGAGGGCGATGAAAACGATAATAGTGGTGGCGAGTAGATTGGAGCAAATGATCTCAACAGCCCCAAAGGGCAACCTCACAAGCACTAGGAGAGCACAAACCGGTTTTTGAGAATTCTCAAAAACCAGATCTCAACAGCCCCAACGGGCAACCTCACAAGCACTAGGAGAGCACAAACCCCTTGCACTAGAGGACCAGCTCACAAGCGCCAGAGGGGCACAAGGCGAAATAAGAGGAGTGACAAAGAGGCTGACATGAAGCACGGATTAGCATACCGAAAGGGAGGAGGCGAACGAAGAGGAGTTGGAGAGGGCGAGGTCCGCCGAATGGCCAATGAGCACTAGAGAGTACCAGGGCCCGTGTGCAGGGAGAGAGGGGTGAGAGGAGTCGGCAGAGGAAGAGGAGGAGGATGATGATGTGGAGGAGGAGGAGGAGAAGAGGGAGAAGAGGTGGGAGGAATTGGGGATGTAGAAGCGGAGCAGAGGTGCTGAGTCCTTGTGCAGGGAAAGGAGATCTGTGGTAGGGGTGGTGGGAGAGGACAAGAGAAGGGAAGGTGGTGAGGGGATGACGAGGGTGTTGGTATTTCTGTGAGTGAGCGTGCGCTGAGTCCTTGTGCAGGGAAAGGAGGTCGGTGGTAGAGGGTGGTGGGAGCGGGGACAAGAGGGGATGATAGAAGGTGTTTGTGTGTGTGTGCGCACGCTTGCGCACGTGCATGCATGCGTGTGCATGTGCATGCGTGCGTACATGCTGTAACCTTCTATGTACTAATTTCCTGCCTTACTCTGCCCACTTCCTGCCTTGAGTCTTCCTCAATCCCTCCCTGCTGAGAACTCACATGCTCACTCCTCACACCTCGCATTGCATGCGGCTCACATAAAACAACTAACGCCTACCAGGCAGTTGTTTTACAGAAATAAGATAACTCAATTGAATCTTTCCTTATGCAAATACAGGCAAAACACAGGCGATTGGCACAATGTCATGCATGGGGGACAGGTAAAAGCTTACCAGGCGATTGGTTCTTAGATAGCACGTCGTGAAGCCTGTCTTTGCTCCACTTCCCTGGACAAAGTGGGTGCCACGATGAGGCGTGGGAATAGGAGCAGGGTGCCGGGGAAAGCAGAAAGAGGGGAAAAGCAAGCAGGTAGGTGGGAAAAAGGGAAGATGGGGGCATTGAGAAGAATGCTACCTGAGAAGAATGCTACCTGAGAAGAATGCTACCTGAGAAGAATGCTACCTGAGAAGAATGCTACCTGAGAAGAATGCTACCTGAGAAGAATGCTACCTGAGAAGAATGCTACCTGAGAAGAATGCTACCTGAGAAGAATGCTACCTGAGAAGAATGCTACCTGAGAAGAATGCTACCTGAGAAGAATGCTACCTGTGAAGAGTCTATCCGTGAAGAGTCTATCCGTGAAGAGTCTACAAGGTACAAGTTCAGAGTGAAGAGAGTGTTACTAGCACAAAGAATGGTATCAGCAACTTGTGCCACTTACCAGTGACAACGAGGGGTTCTCTCAGGGGGTCCTTGAATATGAGCAGACAGGGCAGGCTTTTGAGTCGCAAGCCTGAGAGGGTCTCATAAGTCAGCTCTTACCGGTGGCAACGAGGGGTTCTCTGAGCGGGTCCTTGAAGATGAGCAGACAGGGCAGGCGACGCAGACCCAGGCTGCTCATGTGAGGATGGGTGAATGGAAGGGAGCACAGGGAGCAAAGAAAACAAAAGGGAACGGCGAAGGGGTTGTATGCAGCAGGGGAGATGCAGCACAGTTTAGAGAGCACAGAGAGTCCTAGAAGATGAGCAGACAGGGCAGGTGATGCAGGCCCAGACTGCTCATGTGGGAATGGGTGAAGGGAGAAGAGGGACCGGCGGAAGGGTGCAACTGAACGCGGCTGCTTTCTGTCAAACTCCATTATGTATCAACTTAGAAAGCACCGAGGGGGGCGAATGCATTGAGGCGGTGTGAGTGGAGGGTGACAGAGGGAAGTGGAAGCAACGGCAGCAAGGGTGAGTGGGGAAGTGCGAGCAAGGGTGTGAAGCTGCTGCTGTTGTGTTGGTTCTTGCTTCCTCCACACTCACCCACTAATGAGTCAATTCAACACTCACCGGGGAGAGAGGGCGTTGAGGTGGTGTGGGTGGAGGGCGACAGAGGAGAAGTGCAGGGAGGAGCGCCAGTGCGAATCCGCTGCTGCTACTGCTGATGTTACTTCATCTTTCCTTACACCCACATCTAAGCAGACTCAACACTCACCGAGGGGCGAGCGCGCCGAGGTGGTGTGGGTGGAGGGCGACAGAGGAGAAGTGCAGGGAGGAGCGCCACTGCGGGTCTGCTGCTGCTACCCGCATCTGGAGGAGCAGAGCTGCCGCTGCTGAGGATGAGGAAGGGGAGGAGGAGGAGTCGACTGGAACTGCAGCCACTATGACCGGCTTTTGGAAGGAGAGGCGGAGAGGTAGGGACTCCTGTGGGAAGAGGGGGGGAAGGAGGGGAAGGTGAGGGTTGGTGGATGAGGTGGGGGATGGGGGATGGGGGACAGAGTGAAGAGTGGGAGAAAGAGGGTAAACTGAAGAGCAGAAGGGGAAGGCAGCTGGGGGAAAGGTGTTTGATGCTGGTGCACATTAGAAGGCAGCGTATGTGTGCGAGGAGTATGTGTGCGAGGAGTATGTGTGCGAGGAGTATGTGTGCGAGGAGTATGTGTGCGAGGAGTATGTGTGCGAGGAGTATGTGTGCGAGGAGTATGTGTGCGAGTATGTGTGAGGATGTGCGTATGTGCGTGCGCGTGCGCATGTGCATGTGCATGTGCATGTGCATGTGCATGTGCATGTGCATGTGCATGTGCATGTGCCAGCAGGGAAACGTACTAGGAGGGATGGGGAGACGGCTGGGAGGTAAGGCAGGAGGAGGAGCGAGTCAGTGAGGAAGGAGCGCAGAGAGGACGGGGTTGCAGAGGCCCACACGGACGAGCAGCACACAATGTCCCGACAGGATGGAGTGAAGGCTACAAAGGCTGGGAAGCCTGGTGGTGTGAGACGGGGTAAGTGGCGGAGTAGGGGAGAGGGAGACACAGTTGGGAGGTAGGGAGGTAGGGCAAGAGGAAGAGGAGGTTTTGGTTGACCTCACAAGGGATGAGTCAGAGAGGAAAGAGCACAGTCGAATGAAATGGGAAACGGAAATCATACAGCAGGGAGGAAGAACAGGCAACACCACATTACACCACACCACACCGCTTTGGAGGCAGGCACTATTCTTCAAGCAGCAACCAGTGAAGCACCAAGCACGAAGCATGATTCTTGAGGCGCCTCGACAACCAGAGCACAGAGGGCAGAGGGCAGAGGGCAGAGGGCACGAACCGGATCCAAAGCCGAAGGAGGAGCGGAAGCACTTGTGGTTGGCGAGAACCGATGCCAGTCGCCGCTGCTCCGATACCTCCACCCTGCCAAACCGCACCACACCTTCGAATTCCGATGCTGGAGCGAGAGGGGACACACAGAGAGGGAGGGAGGGTAGTGAGTCTCTGTTATGGGTCAATGGCTGAAGGGGGGAGTTGAAATAAACGGAAGGGGTACAAAGAAGAATCTGTAGTTCAGCGACTCAGGCAGTGTCATAGCTGCCTAAGCCGATGATTCCAGTTCCTGGAACCAACGATTCTTCCTTGTATCCCTTCCATTGATTTTAACTCACCCACCCAGTCACTCCCAGCACAGCACAGCACCGCATAGCACCCACCCAGTCACTCCCAGCACAGCACAGCACAGCACAGCACAGCACCGCACAACACCCACCCAGCTTCTCCCAGTGCGGGGCAAAGGCGCGCGACTGCGGCGAATAGATGGAGAAGATCTGGATGAGCCACGCGTCCCCGCCGCCCAGCACCTGCTGCCCAAAGTTGACAGCTGTCAGCGTCTTAGTGGCCGACGGCATGAGGTCTGCGGGAGGGGGGGGAGGGGGGCAGGGGAAAAGGAGGGGGAAAAGAGGAAGGGGAGGAGGAGGAGGACGAGGAAGGGGAGGAAGGTGAGGAGGGGAGAAAGAGAGAGCATAGGGAAAGGGGGCAAAGGAGGAAGTTGGGAGGGGAACGGAGAGGATAAGAGAGGGAGGAGAAAACCAACACAAAAGATAAGAGGCATAGCTTCAATCAAAGCATGCCACAGGAATACTGAGGCACGGACACTAGGAAAGAGGACAAGTGAGAAGGTGCCAAAGGGGGAGAGAGCAAGTGGGGAAGAGACAAGTAAGGAGGGCAGGTGGTGTGGCGAGGACCAGAGGGGGAAACGGCGGTGATTTTCAAGAGTGTGGCTTCTTTCCCCCTTTGACCGGCATTTCAAATGGGGGTTTCACAATGTTTAAGAAAGAGCGAGCAAGGAGAGGGTAAGTGCAGCACGCACCGTCACTCTGCTGCTGTCCCCAGTGCGAGAAGAATGAGTCGGAGTAGGCATGATGATGCTGATAGCGCTGCTGCCTCTGGTACTGACCCCCGCCGCTGTGACCGTCCTGGTGTGATGGGAGGGATGCGAGGGGTGGGAGGGATGGGACGGGTGGGAGAGAAGGGAGAGAAGGGAAGGATAGGAGGGAAGGGAGGGATGGTGGGATGGGAGCAGTGGGACGAAGGGAGGGAGTAAGAGAGGGGTCGGAGGGATGAGAGAAAAAATGTTTCACAACGCACCAGCCCACCTGGTCCCGTTACACAGTTCCATTTCTTTTCCCCTACCAAAACCTAGCAAAAGCGATGCGAGAAAGAGAGCCGCCTAACCCAACGCAGACACACAGAGTCATAGACCCCTCAGGCTGTCACCCGGCTCCTCACCTCATCAGCGCCGTAGCGGTCGAACCTCCTCCGCGCCTCCTCCTCCCCCACCATCTCATATGCCGCTTGCACTGACAGGAACCGCTCATGCGCTGCCTTTGCGCCCTGGTTCTTGTCCGGGTGCCTGTGTACAGGGAGGTTGGTTGCGGTTGCGTTGGGTTGGGTGGGGTTGGGAGGGTTGGAATGCAGAGGGTAAGGTGAGTGACCTTGTGGTGCATCTGTTCGAGTCCACGTGTCCTCATAAGGGAGGGTTGGGATGGAGATGGAGCGGATGGAGTGATGAAGAGAGAAGTTTGGAGGAGAAGAAGCTGGGTTGAGGTAACAGCATGGTAACAACAGGAGGATGATGGATGGAGAATGATGAGAACAATCTTAGATTCCAAACCCTCACTGCCCCTCCCTTCTCACTGTCCTTCTCACTCTCTTTCCTTCTTCTTGACAGCCGTTTGAGACACCACCCTCCCGTTCCCATCATCACCCCTGCTCCCACTCACCATAACCTCCCGCTCCCACCGCTCCCCACTCCTTCCACCGCTTCCACCGCTCCCAACCGCTCCCCACTAGTCCCCACCGCTCCCCACTAGTCCCCACTGCTCCCCACTAATCCCCACCGCCCTCGTGCACTCACCATCGCCTGGCGAGCTTCTTGTACGCAGCGCGGATGTCCTGCTGTGACGCATCTTTAGCCACACCTAGCACTGGGGGGATACGCGCGACGGGGGACGCGGGGGAAAGGAAGGGCGTGCGTAGTGGGGGGGCGGGAAGAGAGAAGGGTGCGGATGGTGGGGGAGCGGGGGGAGGAAAAAGGGGGTCGGGGGGAAGAGGAAGCAGCGGCCGTGGGGGAAAGGGTGGGGGTGGGGAGGGGAGTTGGATTGTAAGAACGGGAAGGAACGGGAAGGAGAGTGAGGAGGATTAGGCAAAGGACATTAAGAAAGGTTGGATGTGGAAAGAGAGGCAGGGGTAGGAAAGAGGGAGGACGAACGGGAGGAAGAGGGAAGGTGGAAGTACGGCAAGGACGACCGTAGGCAGGCTGACACGTAGGCAGGCTGACACGTAGGCAGGCCGAACCGTTAGGCAGGCAGAGCAGCAAGACGAACCTTTGTAAGGATCGCGCACTTTCGAGCATGCGACGGGGGCAGGCGAGGGGAGGAACGGCAGATCGAGAAGCACTAGCAGAAGCGGCAGCAGCAGCGACGCCACCAGCAGCGAGACTACGGCGAGCAGCCCGAACGGACGGCTGAGATGACGCGCCATCGAAACGCCTTCGGACGGTAGTATCGCGCGTTGTCAAGAAGTGCGAATTGCGGTATGCCCCAGGCCTTGTCGGTTGACTCAACGGTCACCGCGGATGCGCCACTTACGCTAATCAACGGCAATTGCTCAACCAGATCACTCGAACAAATCTCTTTGCGGCTGCACCAAGAGCATCACCATCACCACGAGCACCAACGGCACCACCGGCACCGACCAGAGTAGTTAATAAACGCAAGTCTATGCGGCGCTGCGGTAATTCTCGAATACATTCATCATAACCCGTGGCGCTGACATCGGGTGGCGGCTGGAGAAACTTCGACTCCACGGACTACCTTCACTGCTTTTATCTAGGCGCCTCGATAGCAGCACTACGACAGCAGCGCGTCAGATCAGCTGAAGAGGATCAAATCAGAGAAGCCCAGGCACTAGTATCCTGTCCTCGCCGACGCAGCAGCTGCAGCTTCCTTGAAAGACATACTGAGTTAATCGAGGCTGGTAGACGCAACTGGGTGGAAGGCTTGCTGCGGCAAGACCCCTTAATGAATCTGTACGCGTTTGCAACATTTAGAAGGCGCAGCATACCAGACGTTTTGCAAAACATTCTGCACGCCATATGGACTACAGAAATTAAATACATAATCATCCGACATATCCGTGCTCTTTTAATGGGAAAAAATGCAATAAAGCTCTCTGTTTCTATTTTATCGAAAGATAAATGGTGTTCTCGTATAGAATATATTATGTTTCAAAGAGTGGGAACAAATTGTCAAAATGAGGAATGATGATGCCATTGATGTTGGTTGGGGTACATATAACAAACCCTAACTTCTGTACCCCCTAAGACAAACCTCACTACAGGCTACAACATTTGACACACCCCCATAGCCTAAGTGAGGGGTGTCTAGCAAAATAAAAAAAAGAGTACGGTCACAAGACCAGTCCAAAAGAAAACAAAGCTCAGGGTGGATCACAACGTCACCACACTCTCTGAGCACAAGCAACAGTGGCCACAAGGCCAGTCCAAGAGATCACAAGTATATATAGCAAGAGTACAGACGAAGCAGGCAATGAACTCAAGCCTACACATGACTAGAACATGTGTCAACAAGGCCTAACTGCACACAACACCTCTGGTGGTCACGAGGCGGAAGCGCCTTGGTGAAGATGTCTGCAGTGTTGGCCTCGGACTCCACAAACTCGAAGCGAGCCTGTCCACGTCTCTGCAACTCTTGCAGAAGAAAGTACCTGACGTGAATGTGCTTCACTCTGCTCTCCAGTCGCGGCTCACGACAGAGGAGGATCGACGCCTTGTTGTCAGTGAACAAGGTCGGTGCAGAGCTCGGCCGCTCACCAAGGTCGGCGAGCAAGAAGGTCAACCAACGCAACTCCTGTGCCGCCATGGCACCAGCGTAAATCTCAGCCTCAGCTGTAGAGGTCGAGACAGAAGAGGAGCGCGTGGAACGCCAGGAAACAGCTCCAGAACCCAGACTGAAACAGTACCCCTGAGTAGACCTGTGAGTCTCAGCGTCGTCAGCGTAAGAGGAGTCACAGTGACCAGTGAGTACGACAGACTGCTGCCCTCCAAGAACTAGCCCCACGCCTGATGTAGTCGCTAGGTACTTCGCCACCCTCACAGCTGCTGTCCAGTGAACAGGACGGTGTCTCCCTAGCGCAACAAAGCGCGCAAGGATGCTGAGAGGGAAGGCGAGGTCCGGGCGAGTACAAGTCATCAGGTACATGAGGCAACCCACAAGCTCTGCGTAGGGACCACTAGGCTCAAATGGCTCGTCAGGAAAGGGACCAGTGAGTCTGTGGTCAACAGCGAGAGGTGTGCGCTGTACGGTGGAGTGCTGAAGCCCGAACCGCTGAAGGACCTGCTGCACCATGTGTGACTGTGAGAGTGTAATGGTGCGAGCGGCTCTGTCCCTGGTGATCTGCAGGCCAAGGTAGTGGCGCAGCTCACCAAGATCAGTGCACGTGTGTCTCTTCTGCAGTTCGGACTTCACGTCTGCCAAAGCAACCCTGTCCGGAGTGGCGAAAACGAGGTCGTCGACGTAAACCAGAACAAAGAACGGTGTGGAGCCACGACGAACGAACAGCGACGGGTCGGCAGAAGACGGCTGGAACCCAAGGTCAGAGAGGGTAGAACGCAGAGTGTCGTGCCACTCACGAGGGGCCTGGCAAAGACCGTAAACAGGTCGCCTCAGCCTCCACTGGGTCCCAGGAGGGAAGGTGCCAGTGAAGGCCGAGGGACGACGCAACCAGACCTCCTCGTGTAGGCTGCCCTGAAGGAAAGCAGTGGAGAAGTCGAGAGAGTGTAACTCGTAGTCTCTCTGTGCTGCTACGTGTAGTAACACCCGAAGAGTGGTCATCTTCGGGGTAGGTGCGAAGGTCTGAAAGAAGTCAACTCCCTCGCGCTGACTGAAACCTCTAGCCACGTAGCGCGCCTTGAAGACCAGGGGAGATCCCGGTGGCCGCTTCACCCTGTAGATCCACATGCCGTCGACTACGTTCGCCCCAGGGGGGGGAACCTCATCGACGTAGGTGCCTGTGGATCTGTAGGAGGCCATCTCTGCGTCCATGGCAGCTCTCCACTGAGAGGCCCAAGGCCCTGACACTGCCTCAGCGTAAGTGCGAGGAGTCGGAATGTCAAGGGCGTCGGGGTCACCCTCAGGGGCGAGGAGCATGGCACAGAGATGAGGGGAAGCGGCCGCCAGGAACTCTAGCTCAAACTGCCTGTCCTCTAGGGCGTCACAGCCAAGGGCAGACACACCCCCGACGGCCAGAGGACTGGTAGGAGGAGCAGCCACAAGCGTGGTGGCGTAGTCAAGGCGGCGGGTAGAGGCAAAGTCAGTAACTGCGGCAGTAAGAGCGGACACAGAGGCACCAGGGTGAGTAACAAGAGAGGCGAGAACACGAGAGAGAACAGGACGGTACGTGCGGTAGTAGTCAGTGATAGGAGTAGGGAGCGACACAGTGAGGGCCGACTCAAGAGGAGACGGAAGCACAGACTGAGACGGACGAGGTGGACTAGAAAGAAGGAAGGCAGTACGAAGGTCAGTGAAGGGAACAGGAGACGAGGGACGAGCACGAGGGGAGCGACGAGTAGCCCAAGAACGAGACGGAGGAGGAGAGGACAAAGGCGGAGAACTGGGGAAAACAGCGGGGGAGGAGTCAGGAGGAGGAAACGTGGGACCGTAGATAGGAGGAGAGGCGGAGGAGGGAGGAGAAGGGGAGGGGAGACCAAGGGTCCGAAGACCCGAGACAGGAGGAGGAAGTGGCTGCTGCTGCTGCTGCTGCGACTGCTGCTGCTGCGGAAGCGGCTGCTGCTGGGACTGCTGCTCCTGCGGGTCCAGCTGCTGCTGCTGCTGCTGCTGCTCCTGCGGCTCCAGCTGCTGCTGCTGCTCCTCCAGCCGCTGTAACTCCCTCTCCTCTCTCTCCAACGCCAGCTGCTCGTCACGGGCACGGCGAACACGAGCCTGGTGCCTAGTCGGGTAGGGGTGGGGGGGCGGAGTAGTGTCCGAAGCAGCGGTAGCTCCAGAGTCCACCCCCGAAGAACCAGGCGCACCACCCCCAGAGGCAGCACTAACACCAGCTCCAGACCCGGGCTCACCAGAACCCGAAGGAGGCGCACTCTCACCCCCAGTGTCCGCGCGACCAGCACCAGCTCCCGGACGACAAGAGTCCTCTGCACCCACCGGGTCAGCTCCAACTCCAGAACCAGAAACTCCAGCTCCAACTCCAGCTCCAACCCCAGCACCCCCAGAACCAGAAACTCCAGTGCCAACTCCAGCTCCAACTCCAGCTCCAACTCCAGCTCCAACTCCACCACCCCCAGAACCAGAAACCGGTACAGGAACAGGCGCAGCACCAACCTCTCGAGAGCTAGCACCTGCGGCACGCTGCGAGGAGGACTGTGGGGAGGGAGGCTGTACCGGAGAGGCTACCGAAGGAGGAGGGGTAGCCTGGGACACACCCGACGGGGCTGGACCAGGGGGGGGAGGCTGTACCGGGGGAACAGGAGGGGGAGCGGCAGTCAGGAAGAGGGGGGGAGGAGGAACCTGGAGACCTCGACTGGGGTACCTGACGTAGTACGGAGTGGACTCCTCGAAACGGACGTCACGGGAGTCAAAGAACCGGTGAGAGGGAGGGTGGTAAAAGGTGAAGTCAGAGGAGTCCTCAGGGAAACCAAGGAAGACACAGGGGACGGCACGAGGCGAGAGCTTGTCCGCGGAGGTGTCGCGGACAAGAGCCAAGCACCCCCAGACACGAAACCGCAACGCAACACCAGGGGACCCTGTCCAAAGACTGGTCGGTGAAACCTCTGGTCGAGAGACACGTGGCCAGAGGTTCAGCTGGTGCGCGGCGTACCTGACCGCGTAGGGCCACAGAAAATGGGGGGCACAGGCGTGAGTCAGGGAGGTGCGGGCGATCTCCATGACCAGGCCTATGCGGCGCTCAGCAACCCCATTCTGCTGTGGGGACTCTGGAAGCGTCCAGGACTGACGAATGCCCTGCTCGCGACAGAATCCAGCGAGAATGCCGGAGCGAAACTCACCCCCACGGTCGGAGTGGAGGCAGCTGACACGACGACCACGAGTGTCCTCGGTGGTGAGCAACCACCTGATCAGCGTAGAAGTCACCTCAGACTTCTTCGCCAGAGGGAACACTGTGGTGTAGCGGGAGAAGTCGTCAACGACCACCAGAAAGTAGCGCTCACGCTCAGGGCCTAGACGAGGGGCGGGGCCCCAGACGTCCAAGTGAAGTGTCTCAAAAGGCTCGGTGGCCGGACGAAGGGAGGAGGAGTGAGGGGCGGCGCGCAGCCGACCCTCGACGCAGGGACCACACGGCGGCGCAAGCGAAGGCGGCAGCGACGGCAAGACACGTGGGAGGCCTAGGACAAGACGCTGACTAGACATAGCGCGCAGACGAGGAAGGGACGGGTGCCCCATCCGGTGGTGCCACAGAACGGTGGGGTGGGCAAGCGACCGGCAGGAGCACGACGCAGCGACTGGAGCAGACGTAGGAACCTGACACGACACAGACACCTGGGGGGACGAAGCAACCTGGTGAGACGCGGGGACCCGAACGGGGGGGGGAACCAGGGGCAGTGGCAGTAGGGGCGGCTGCTGGTGCGACTGCTGGTGCAGCTGCTGCTGCTGCTGCTGCTGCTGCTGCGGCTGCGGCTGCTGCTGCTGCTGCGGCTGCTGCTGCGGCGCACGCGGGCCAGTGCGAAGAGTGTAGAGACCTGAGCCCGGCTCAGCAGTAAAGGTAGCAAGAGGCTAGTAAGAGTCTCCGTCAACACACACCGCAGTCTCTCCAGAAGGCTCAAACCACACACCCACGTGCTGACTCACGAGGGGTCGCACGCCCACCAAGTTCCGGGAGAACGAGGGGACGTGAAACCCAGTGAGAGACCCGGAGGGAGCAGCAGGACACGGTAAAGTGGTAGTGTGACGTGCAGTGACTGGTCCCGTAGTGGGATCAGCCAAAGCCACAGAAACAGGCGCAGGAAGTGGTGTAAGTGTCGTGCTGTCCCGGAAGAAGCAGTGTGAGGCTCCAGAGTCCAGCGTGAACGACAGCGAAGCGTCCTCTGAGGTAGTCGCTGGTCTAGAGTCTACACAAGAACCTACACTAGCAACAGGCAATTGAGCAAGACTAGCACCTAAGCTAACAACACCAGAGTAAACAGAGTCAGAAACACTAGAGTCAACAACAGCATACATAGCATGAGGAGCACCAATCAGATCAACTAACTGCTCAGCAGACATGCCCCACAGAGCGGAGCCGTAGCGCTGAACCAGAGGAAGCCAGTCAAGAGCAGGACCGCCAACCCCGTAGGCCAACCGGACCGTGTCAGTGAGCTGAGCAAAGCACTGACCAGGGGGGTGAAAGCGGCCACAAGGGTGGCCCCGACGAGGACCTGTCAGAACCTGATAGGTGCAGGGAGGGTAAGAAGCACCGCGCTGGGGCTGACGCAGCCCCGACCCCGGAGCCAGCTGCTGACGCTGCTGCTGCTGAGGCTGGCGGGAGGAAAGGGGCTGCTGTTGCTGCTGAAGGTGCTGCTGACGCTGAGCCTGGTACCACGCCGCTGCTCCACCTAGCGGGGTCGGCAGTACAGGAGGCGACTGACGAGCTCGGGGGTCGCCGCCACCAGCAGGCGCAGTGGAGTCACCAGCCGCTGCACGAGGGGTCTCTCCAGACGCTACACTCCCACCACCGCCAGTCGTAACAGCACCCCCACTACCTCCGCTACCTCCACCTCCACCTCCACCAGAACTACCTTTCTTGCCCCCCTTGCCGCGGGACCGCGACGCAGTCGTAACAGCAGCCGCAGTCGCGTCAGTAGCGGCAGTGGTGAGAGAGGCAGTGAAGGTGGGTAACTGCGGGACTGTGCACCCGTGGAAGAGTGGGGGGGACACAGTACCAGAGGCGGCAGCTACCGAGCGAAGGTTGCTCTCGACGTCCTTGAGTGCAGACTCAAGGACCTCGATAGTCAGCTCACTAGGGTGCTTCAGCAGAAGCGCGTCACGAACGGAGGCTAGGCGGTCAGGGAGGCTAGTGGCGATGAAATAGACAGTAATCGCCATGGGGGGAGGAAGCAGTGCAAGCTGTGCCTCAGTGCAAGCAGCGCGGTAACTAGCGTCGAGCGAGCGGAGGTGAGCGATCAAGTCAGCAGAGCGCTCAAACGAGGCGAGATCAGGAAACAGGAACGGGAGGAAAAGACGGCCAAGAGAGACAGTAGCGGGAGTAGAGTAGCGGGCCTTAATCGCAGTGAGGTACGCAGCAGCGGTGCGAACCTGAGTAAAGTGGACCTCCTCTGACTCAGGGAGGAGGCTGCTGAGTGCGATGCAGGCCGCAGCGTCACGCGACGTCCAAGCCGTCCGGTCAGCGCGCTGACGGGCAAAGCGAGCCGTAGCAGCGTCGTCAGGGGCAGAGCCTAAAGCTGTAGGCTCGGGGGGCTCGGGGAGGTCACCAGTAGCGTGCGACCAGAGGGTCTCGCCCCCCTGGACCTGACTCTCTAACAGACGGCGAGCGCGAAGAAGCCAGACGGAAAAGTCAAGTGGTCTACCGTCAGCGTCGAAACGAAGAACTCGCGGAGTCGCCATAGTGAGAACTAACGCGAACGAACAGGCGAGTAACAACCGGGGAGAAGAGGCAAATTAGGGTTCAGGTGGGAAGGGGACTCAGTCGCAGCGGAAGAGCGGGCTAGGGCGACGGGCCAGGGCGTAGGGTAGGGCGACGGGCCAGGGCGTAGGGTAGGGCGACGGGCCAGGGCGTAGGGTAGGGCGAGGGGCCAGGGCGTAGGGTAGGGCGACGGGCCAGGGCGTAGGGACGGGACAGGGCGACGCGACGGGGCAGGGCGGCGCGATGGGGCAGGGTGACGGGACGGGGCAGGGCGACGCGACGGGGCAGGGCGACGCGACGAGGCAGGGTGACGTTACGGGGCAGGGCGACGCGACCGGGCAGGGCGACGGGACGGGGCAGGGCGACGCGACGGGACAGGGCGACGGGACGGGGGGGAAAGGGCGGGCACGACGTGACGGGGGGGACGGGCGCGACGCGACGGGGGGAAAGAGCGCTAGGCGACGGGGGGAAAGGGCGCGACGCGACGAGGGGGGGGGGGGGGGGGGGAAAGGGCGCTAGGCGACGGGGAGAAAGGGCGCTAAGCGACGGGGGAGAGGGCGCTAGGCTCGGTACTAGGCGCGGTAACAACGGAACCGGTACGAACGAGAGGTAGGATCAGGCTCGGGAGGGACGAACGGAGAACGGAGGAACGGGATCCCACAGGATCCTAACCTAGCTGATACCATGTCAAAATGAGGAATGATGATGCCATTGATGTTGGTTGGGGTACATATAACAAACCCTAACTTCTGTACCCCCTAAGACAAACCTCACTGCAGGCTACAACATTTGACACAAATCACTGATAAATGCCGACAAGTCTAAAAGCTTTGCAATGTAAAAGTGCATTTAGCGTGAACGCGTACAATGGTTTTGCCACGATCCATCCATCCCTCCCAAAATCCCCAGCGACCCAGCCCCAACACAAATTCCATTCACACCCCATTCATTCCATGGCTCTGACTGTCTGCTCATCGCGCCTCTTACTCCGCTCTTCCTCCTCCGCCTTTCCGATCTCTGCTGTGTCTCAGTCACGCTCGTTCCCGCTCCTGTCGGGCTCCCATCGAACTCTCTCGTCGCCTGTTTCTGAATCCCCTACAAGCTTGCTTGTTTCTCGGAGTTTGTCCAGCGTCGGAATCTGCCGGGGGGATTTGAGTTCCACAAGTGTGCACCACGTTAGACATTCTTACATTCCGCTTCGGTAAGTAATGCCGTTGTTTATCTATGTGCATTTTTTTTTGCTGTATTTCCCGCCATTTACCAAATAGCGTTGCGCTGTTGGCCACCCGTCAGAATGCCGCTACCGATTCTGAATCACTAGCGTCCAATCACAAAACGTTTCGTTTCCACTGAATATCAACCGTGCATTATCGTGCAGAAGAACGCCGGCCTCAGCCTCTGCGACAAGCCCTCGTCGATTCACCACCCGCAGCATTGTAGCAATGGCGGGAAGCAACGAGGAAGCTGCCGCTAAGGCAGCGTCGGCGGCTGCGGATTCAGGCAACCCCACCATGTGAGGGAGAGGGCAATGGCTGAGGGTGGTGTTGGTTGAGGGAGGGGGAGAGAGAAAGGAGACTGAGTAGAGTAGAGAAAAAATTGGTGTGAGGGGAAAACGTGAGAGAGAGGGAAGGTTGATGGTGAAAGTAAGGGGGGGAAGGTGTGGAATGAGGTGCAACTTGAGAGGGTGGGTGGGGTGTGCATGTCGGCGCGTCTATTTCCCTAAGAGCCTCTGAGGAAGCTTCCTGGTGATGGTTCTCATCTCGTTTGCCCTGCTTTATCCTCACCTCACAGCCTTATTTAAGATCTGCACTCCTTTGCCTGCAGATTTGATAAGATTGTGCGCAAGGAAATCCCTGCTAATATCGTGTATGAGGACGACGAGGTGAGAAGGGCGTTTAGCTCAGCGCAGTTGCTTTTGTCTCACATATACACGATCAACGCAGATTCTTCTCCTCCTCCCCGTTCCTCCTGCCTTTTTCTGCACTGTCTCTTTTTGTTCCCCCCCTCTTCGCCATCAGCTGTGCAACCGTTTGTTCTTTCCTCCCCTTTAAACATTGTCATCTCTTTGATTTGCAAAAATTGTGCGGGTGTTGCTGGCTGGCAGGTGATGGCCTTCCGAGACATCAGTCCCCAGGCGCCAGTGCACATTATTCTCATTCCCAAGAACAGGGACGGCCTCACACAACTCTGCAAGGTAAGTGCTGCCCCACAGGGCCCCCACTCTCGTATCAGCACCATGCGCATGATTCTACGGTATGTTTCTTCTGGTTTGTCTAGTCCAACTCGCGATTGTTTTCATCTCTCCCTCTCTCTGCTTCTGAACCCTGTGTCGTGATAACCTCTCCCCTCCATATCTATCTTCCTTGTTTCTTTTCTCCCCCAGAGTCCGTCACTCTCTGGTATCCTTCTTTTCGACTTCCATGTGCTTTCAGTTTCCTCATTTCTGTTTCCAGCTCCCTCTGCCCTCCTTGGTATACCACAGGCAGAGGAGAGGCATGCAGCAATCCTGGGTAAGCTGCTGCTGGCAGCGCGGAAGGTAGCGATCAACGAGGGCCTGGTGCCAAACGGGTATCGCATTGTCATCAACGACGGGCCCGATGGATGTGAGTTTGGGAAGCTTGGAGGAACGAGGATAGGAGGGTGACGGGTGGAGGGATCTCAAGCTGTGTGCAATTTAGAATGGTAGAGCGAATATGGACGTCTTTGTGCCTTGGTTTTCAGATCCACGTTTGAAATTGTGTTTTTCCTTTATTCTGGGTGGGTTTGTATGGTTTTATCCTGAGCAGGCCAGTCGGTGTACCATCTTCACATCCATATCCTTGGTGGCCGCCAGATGAAGTGGCCTCCTGGCTAAGTTATAGTAGGGGCTACATAGAGGCTACGAATTTAAGAACGTGTGGTGGTTCTGCAGCATATATGCTTGCAAAAGTGGGAATATACGTCCAATTTATTGCTGCCATTCATGTTTTCAAACATGTATGTGCTGATTTTCCAGATATCCACTGTAACACTCTCCAAACTATTACAGCAAATCCGAGGAAATCTCTTTGGCGCCTCGATGTTTGTGAGTGGAACACAGGGGTCAGCGCCGCGGGGAGTGTGAAATCGTCGTTGTCAGTCACTCCACGCGAAACCAGGAATCGTCAACCCTGGTGTTCTACCTTCATCCCCATCTCCAAGAGACTATCGCATTCTGGCAAACCTAGGTATTGTTTTCTCCTCCTAGCACAGCTCCACGTCAACACTGGGTTTGTTTTCAGGCGAGCCGTGAGAGGGTTCCAGCTATGCTCCTCGAGGTTTCCCTTCTGCTGCTTTTGAGTTTCGAATTTCAAATGACGACTCGCCACCACCCTCGGCGGGCATCCGTCGCACCTTTCGCATACCTCGGTCCCCGTGACGCGCAGGAGCCAGGGAAGCCCAGCACAGGAACCCCTTTCGAGAACCACCGAGTCTTGGTACATAGCATCGAGCCCGCCTCATTTTCTCGTGTTGGCCTCTCTTGCTTCGCGAAGCAAGAAGTACCACTAGCAAAGGGACGCGTTGAGCGAGAAGGGGAGATTAGCTACTGGTATCACTACTCAGATTGCTGCTCTAAGCCATGGAAACGACTCCGTTGCGACGCAGTGGCAGAGCGAGCCTTTTCCGAAAGTCACTGAAAGAGTGCGTTGATCCGCGTCGCGTTCTTTGCAAGCTTCATCTCACTCTTCGTTAATCCCTTTTTTTGTCAAGGAACGCGTGCGTTGAAGCTTACACACGCACATTACTCTACCTCGGCTAACTCTTTCATCGGCTTGCAGGGTGGAAAACGACGAAGATCAAGAATGGCAGCCGCCCAGCGATGCCGAACCCGACGCTCCTCCTGCTGGCGACATGAGCGACGGTGACGAAATAATCGCGAAAGCTTCGCGACCTAAGAAGACCCCCAATAAGGCTCCGAAAACGACCGCGGCTTCGGAGAAGAAGACCTCCTCGAGCCGCGTGCAGAAGAAGAGCAAAAAACGAAACTCTCGAGCTTCGCCAAGTGCTTCGCGAAAGACTGCTTCTGCAGCGGCTGCGGCCGCTGGAACGTCTGAAACGAATGCGGTAAGCATGCTTGCGTGAAACGGCTCGTTTCTGTTATCTTCTGACTGACCTACGTTTTTCCAGCTCGTGTTCAGCTCAGGCACATGACGGAACCTTAGTTCAATCTTAACGGTTTCTGTCCGCGTTTGTGGATTTCAGGATAACGAAGTGGGGGAGGATCCGATGATCGAGGAAGGGGGAATCAGCAACGTGACGCGCTATGCTTCGTCCTTGCACTGTAAGGATCACAATTCTTTCCTTCCTTGATTGCACTGCTTCGGTTCTTGATGCTACAGCTATGTCAATATAATCAACCTTATTTTACCTTTCGTCCCGTTATATTTCTTGTTTATTGCAGTGACAGCACAGAACAAACGAGCCAAGGATGTGGAGAAAGCGGCTAAGAGGTGGACGAGGCAGTATGAGAAAGAACCTATGACTGCCCTGTCAGCCCTTCTGATCTTCCACTTCCAGGTGGGTTTGATTGAAACCCCAAGACATCTGCTGCTTCTTTTCGTTCGTTTGATTCTCAGACTGGCCTGGTGTTAGCATTTCGTTCGGCATGTGCATCACCGTGTTGTGGTTTGCTGTTGCAGGCTTGCGGCTGGAGAGGATCTGAGGACATCTCAAGCCACGTTGGTGATGGTGACGTGGACACTGTCGTGCGTTTCCTTGTGGATCAGGCCAAGGAGGTACACCACTGTACCTTTTCATTTTTCTTCACTTATTCTGCTCCTGTAGATCGATCGAATTTTATACCACTACGCCAACAACATGGTTGCCATATGCTTTACTACGGAGAAGCTTATAATGAATATTTTCTGGCAATGTGCAGGGCGAGGTGGAGGATACGCTGGGCTCTGCGTGGCCGCATGCCAAGAGCGTCCGCTCCTACAAGGCGAATCTGGAAACCTTCTGGCACAGCCTTATGATAGAAGCTCAAGATGGGCCGCTGTTCGATGGAATACTTATGGAGAAGTGTATCAACTATATCACCCTGTTGGCATGGTAAGACAGAGCGCTTGCTGCCAGATCTTCGTACCCTTCTGGTATCTGTAAGAAAAGAAAATACTTCGTAGCTTTTCGCCTTCAGCTCACGTGTTTCTTCCTTGTGTTGTTTCTTGCAGCAAGGCTCCTCGAATGTTCCGGATCATTTCCACCCTTGTGGGCCTTCGCATGGTTACCACGCTGGTAGAAATCGCCAGCACTATGGGTGAAGCACGCGCAACCACACAGAGGCAGATCAACGCAGAAGCTATGCGGAGCGGCAGCAAGGAAGAGAATCCCCGCATGGCTCTGCTCAGGAGCACGTTGGAGAATCTGCATACCAAGATCGTGGGGGTGGAGGAAATGATGACCCAACTCTTTTCAGGGTAAAGCACCAACGCACACACACCCTTCCACTGATATTTTTGTTCCACGGCCCAGTGCAGCATTTATGCCATCTCTGGATTTCGTACTTGTAACTAATGTGTACACCTTGTTTCCATTACAGGTTCTTTACTCACCGCTTCCGAGATGTGATGCCAGAGATCCGCGGTGCCTGCGTGGCATCCCTCGGATCCTGGATATCCGGTTACCCCAGCGTCTTTTTAGAAGACCGCTACCTCAAGTACCTGGGCTGGGCTCTCAGTGACCAGGTGGGTGTGTCAGTGACCAGGCAGTTAAAGGTGCCTAACAGGTAGCAAGCTAACCCAGTGTCTTTCTAGAGGACCGCTACCTCAAGTACCTGGGCTGGGCTCTCAGTGACCAGGTGGGTGGGTTCGTCAGTGGCCAGGCCGTTAGAGGCGCTTATCAGATCGTCAGCCACCCCTGCGTTTGTTTCGGAGGCTGCGCTCTCGAGTACCTGGACTGTCCGCTTGTGATGCTCCCATTCATCCCTTCACGCGTTTTATTCTTGTTATGCTTTTTTCTTTTTCGCTGCTGCTGGCCAATGGCAGGAGTCGGTTGTGAGGCAGAGCAGTCTGCAGGCACTCAAGGCGTTGTACGAGGATGAGGACTGCATTGGCGCGCTCAGCCTCTTCTCTGAGCGCTTCTCCCCGCGCATCATCCACATGGCTGATGACGTGGACGCCAGCGTGGCAGTGACCTCCGTCCAGGTTGCAGCACTCCTGCTGAGGTCAGTCACGAATCATGACTTGCTGCTGCTCAATCACAGTTAGAATCCGTTCCTTTGCTCCTCATCTTCACACTACGTTGGTCTTTCAGTACACATGCAGTAACCTGCTCCCCAGTTTTCATACCAATTTTTTTGTTTATCTGTTCTGTCTTGACTCTCCTTCTCCCAATATGCACACAGGCATCAGCTGATACACTTGGATGAGGTGCGGCCAGTGCTGGAGCTAATCACAGACGATCTGAGGGCTGTGCGCCTGGTGGTGGCGGACCTCATAGCAGACCACTACCTCCCAGCCAAAGTGGCGGAAGCTCCTCAGACCTCCAAAGGTCAGTCAATGTGCCTGTAACGGTCATTGGCTTGTCGTGAGGCAACTTACTGAGTTTTCCTTACCTTTCTCTCCCTACACATTTCTTGTTCTCCTCCGCGTACCCTTCCACACCTTTTCCAATGGCTTAGTTGGTTCATTGCAGATTCCATTGCTTTGCTAGATGACCTGCTCGTAACACCGCGTATGCAGCTTTGTCATGTAACCCTGTCACCCTGCCTCCTGTGCGGAACACGACCCTAAACCCTAAACAGACGATGCAGGAGTGAAGGGAAAGCACGACGGGCAGCTGCAGCCGCTGTTGGATCTGGTGGGGGAGTTCACCAGCAGTGACGCCCACATGGAGATGCTTGTGGACGCTCTCTGGGACAAGTGCAGAGTGCTGCAGGTGAGCCCTCTACCATCAACCGGCCAGCCAGCCAGCCAGACCCCAGCTGTGCAGGCAGGCAGGCAGCCAGTTGGAAACACGTGGCACCACCTTGCTGTGATGTGAAGTTGTCCGTTAATTTCAACAGTAGCTGACTAATGGTGTTGTTATTGCAGGACTGGAAGCTGATGGCCAAGTCTCTCCTGGCCGACCAGGCAGGGGCACACGGGAAGGGCAAGAGGAGGGAGGTGAACGGGGAGTCTCTCTCCCTCTGCCGCCTGCTCCTTGCGTGCGCTGAGCGCGGCACTGCCGCTGGGATTCACTCTAACCGTGGGGATGCTGCTGCTGGGCCTGGGAGGTTTCCTGGGAAGGTGAAAGCCGCGTTTGGGTCCCCCAGTTCAGCCCACAAGACTCCTTCGAAGAAGCAGCAGGTATCATATCTTTCTTCGCCATGTGCCTGTCGGTTCCTCCTCTCCTCCTCTTTCTCCCAGAATTTTCTCTAAAATGTCTCGCCAAGTCGCCTTGGTGCTCATTCGGACCATCTCCCTGATGCTCTATGCCCCTGTGTTGTGTGTGTCTGTGAGCGCAGGAGGGAGCAGCAGTAGTGCAAGGCGAGATGACAGGAGCACTCATGAAGCACCTTCCCGGCATCATCACTCGCTTCCTGCCCGACACGGATCATCTGCACATCGTGCTCTCCATCGCCCCTCTGCTGCAGTTCGACCTCTTCGCCACGCGCCACCAGGAAGCTGTAAGTCATGTTTGCTCCGAGGTGACTTTTGAATCGACTCAAAAGTCACATCGCGCTCTCCATCGCCCCTCTGCTGCAGTTCGACCTCTTCGCCACACGCCACCAGGAAGCTGTGTGTCACGTTCGCTCGTTCCCATATGCCGGTTCCTTCCCATGTGCCAGGCGTTTGTTGCCGTGTGCCTGCCTCCCCTCAGGCATGTCTTTTGACTTTAGCTGCTCGACTCCGCAACTCTGGTTGCTCTCCCCAACCATCCCTGCTTCTTACCTTCCGTTCGTCCTATCTTAACTATGCCATCCTACCTTTCCTAACTCCGCCTCACTTCTGTTGAACTCTCAACACTGCTGTCTTCCTGCCCTTACACCCCTCATCCCCCCCATCCACGCCACCAGAGCTTCACGAGCCTTATGGCAGCTCTACACGATGCGTTCCTACGCCATACTTCAACGCCCATTCTCGACGCAGCCATTGCTGCGGCAGCAGCAGCAGTGGAAACGGCGCCTGCAGAGCTCAAGGAGGAGGCGCAGCGTTTAATCGAGGACCTGGCGAGTGTCGTGCTGCAGCAGCTGGATGAAGCTGTGAAGACGTTTGAAGAGGTGGGTGCTGGGTTGTGTTGTGGTGCATTTGTTGGTGGCTGCTGGTGGTGCTGTACATTCCCGGGTTCATAGTGGCCGGTACTTAACCCTTGACTTATAAAACTACTCAGCGCTGCAACATCTCTTCTGTGCGTTTCTCCTTTTTATCCTTCTTTTCCCTTTCTGGCTTTACAGGATGACGATAGCAGCGTGGGCGCTGATGGTGACTTTGACCGTCTACTGGCCTCGCTGTCGCGGCTGCAAGCGCTGCAGCTGGCAGGGCAGAGCATGCCAGCAAGCATCACAGACACCCTGCAGAAAATCATCTCCAACCCACTCATGGTGTCGTCTGATGAGGTCAGTAGCTGGCTATGCTACGTGTTTTGAGGTGTTTTGAGACGTCTCAAAACTCCATCACAGACGCACTCACTGCAAAAGATCATCTCCAACCCACTCATGGTGTCGTCTGATGAGGTCAGTAGCTGGCTATGCTGCGTGTTTTGAGGTGTTTTGAGACGTCTCAAAACTCCATCACAGACGCACTCACTGGAAAAGATCATCTCCAGCCCATTCATGGTGTCGTCTCATGAGGTCAGTGGCTGAGAATACCATGACTGATGGGACTGGCTGTGTGGGTGCTTCACCTTGCATGGAAATGCCTTCTTCTTGCATGCTTCTGGCGAGCTTTTTTCCTCAACATCTTCTTCAGTTCAAGCCATCTTTCATGCCTGCAGGTCTTCTTGTCATCATCTGATGCCATGCTTACTTGCTTCCTTATTGCCATCTGTCGCGCTCCTTCCCCCCATTACAGGTTCAAGCAGAGGCGCTCACGTGCTGCTTCCTTGATGTGGTCGCAAGCTACGGAGACATCACCGCGGAAGGCGTGAGCGAGAAAGACACAGCTGATACCACAGCGGACATCACTCGAGTGGATGTGCGCCTGCGATTCCTGCTCCTGCACCTGGAAACATCCATCAAAAGCATCTCTTCCTCTTCGTCCTCGCACCAGCTGCCCACAGCAGCTCGCACCTTCAATAACAGGCGCGCTTCTGGGCGAAGTGGGGCCAAGGGGGCATCGAACACAGGCGCCAAGTCCATGGTGAGTGCTCATCTTTGAGACGTCTCAAAGTAGAGCCTAGTCGCCAAGTATTTGATGAGTCTGGATTACCATGTTATCATACAATCACTTCTCCTCCTCGTTGTTTGCTGTTTGTGCCTTTTCGCCTGCAGCTGGTGCACCTGTGCTCGGACGTGTGGTCTGTATTCTCCCCATCCAAGCTGAACGGCACGCCCATGCAAACCCTGGCATCTGCGCCCTCTGCTTCCACTGTGGAGGCCTTCTGGCAGGCATGCCTTGGCATTATTCACACCTGCTGTAAGTACCACTCAAGTACCTTACAAGTACCTCTCAAGGATCTCAAGTAACTCTCAAATACCTTTCATGTGAGTGACTCTTTCTTATCTCAACCGGACTGAGTGCCTCTCAACCGGACTGAGTGTTCCAGGGTCCATTCACAGCAAGTCCGACTTTCAGTGTTCTTGCTTTGTGGGGTGCATTATGGGAAGGAGCTTTACAGTGGTCCTCAGCCCTTAACTTTTATGTCTTTTTTATTTTTCTGTGGCTGTTGCAGCGAACGGTCATGGGGAGCAGCTATCGAATGGGGATGTGGCGGTGATTGCAGCAGCCAAGCTCATAGCCGGAGGCCTTCTACCGCCTGTGAGTTTTCTTGCACCTGGATTCCGAAGTCTACCTTTACTGAATCTCAAGATCGTGCTACCAGCTCTGCCTTGGGCATCAGAGCATATACTTTGCTAACCCGTCTCTCTTGCTTTTGTTAAACCGTCTCTCTGCCTCACATTGACCGTCTGCCGCACCTCCATGCCCTCTGCCCGTCTGCCCCTCTGCTCCGTTCTCCAGACGTATCTTGCTCCGCAGCTGCTGGCTCTGCTGGTGGGCCATGGGTGGGCGGCAGCTGCAGTGGTGAAGCACATGGCAGAGCGCATGAGGCACAGCAGCAGTGGCAGCGGCAGCAGCAGTATGACGGACGAACAGATGTGGAAGCTGTGCTATGATGCAACACGCCTGGTATGTAACCGCATAACTTGGCCACATGGCTTGTGCCACACAATTATACAGCCAGGCTAATGACAGTATCCCATTCCTCAAATTACCCTGGCTTGTTGTTTGACCACACCAGCTTTTCTCATTTGGCCTGTTTCTTGTGAGCTTGACATACCGTCCCCCCCTCTCCCTGGTCCTGCAGGCATACGAGCGGCATCTAAGGGAGATCGGAGAGGACGAGGACAAGGAGGCAGACATGGAGTCGTACCTCATCTGCAAGGACCTCACCCCGCAGCTGCTGCTGCTCTGCGGGGGCCCAGCAGCAGTGCGCGGGGCAGCTGGCAGCGGCAGCAGGTTGAGCGATGCGGTGCAAATGGTGTTGTCTGCGGTGGTGAGGGATGGAGCTGGGTTCGTGCTGGAGGATCCGAGGAGGAGGATGCTGTTTGTGGATGTTGCAGTGCTCGGGTTTGCGAGGAACCTCAAGCCAGCCACTGCTGCTCCAATGTACGTGCCAGACACACCTCTGCCTTTTAGATTTTGTGTCAGTTTGCAATGGTGATCAGATTTTCAGTCAGACTGCATCCTGCCCCTCAGTTCTCTCCTGCTCCCTCTTCCCCGCACGCTCTCCGCACCTTTTTTTAACCCAGCCTCCCTTTCTGAATCCCAAACCCTTTGTCTTTTGCCCACACTCATACTGTCTTGCTACCTTCCTTGTCCGACCCACATGAGCAGCCTTGCTGAGCTTAAAACGCGTACAGCCCACCTCGACATGGAGGACGAGCCCCAGCTCTGGCGCCCTCTGCTCACCCTGCTAGACTGCCTGGAGGGCAAGGCTGGTAACCACAATGGTAACCACACGGGGGCTGGTGGACAGGCCAATGGAGCAGCAAGGAACGGGCAGGGAGGAGGAGAGGGTGGGGAGGACGCAGGAGAGGAGGAGGATGACGTCATGCCAACTATGACGCCGCCCAGAGTGAATCAGCGCGTGGCTAAGCGTAAGTTTCTACATGTTGCCCCAAGTCCCTGGCTTTGAAACGTCTATGTTTTTAGATGTTTCGGAGTTCCTATAAGTGTAGCACTCTGTACATAACTAGCTAGCGGCCTCCCATTTCTTGTCATTAAGAAGCATTTTCCAGACTCCCTCCTGCCAATTCGTCCTATTAATCCTCTCTTTCTTTTTTCCTTCCTCTTCTGTATTGTTTTTTCATCAGGTCACAAGAAGAAGCCTGCGCTCAAGACCATGCGGCGCAGGCCCCAGGGAGCAGAAGCTGAGACGGGAACATCTGACGAAGATGATCCAGGGAACACGTTCGGAGGAGGAAGGGCAACGCGCAGAGATGAAGGGAGGGATTATGGCAGCAGGGAGCCGCGTGGTGGCAGAATCGGTGCAATGTACAAGGATGCTGGTGTCAACGCTTCACATGACCCTGAACCAACTGCGGCTACTGTGCCTGCTGCTGCTGCTACGTCTGATGCGGCTGATATTGATGGTGAGGATGGTAGCGGTGGTGACAATACACGTGGACTGGATTCTGCTGGGGCAGCGGCGCCAGCAGCAGCAGCCAGTGGCAGGGGGCTGGTGTCAGCAGTGACGTATTCACGCAAGAGGAAACTGGCTGCGAACAGACAGAGGGAGGATGAGGAAGACAAGAGGAGTGAGGGAGAGATGGGGGTTGCGGAAGAGAAGAGGGATGAGAGAGAGGATGAGGGAGAGAAGGTCGGTGATGGAGAGAAAGGTTTAGGAGGGGACAAGGAGGCCGAGGTGGACAAGGCGGATGCAGCAGCCAAGGAGGATGACGGAGGGGCGTGGGACATTTTCAAAGATGATGATGAGGAAGAGGATAGGCAGAGCGCAGAAGAGACTATGGTTGGGACGCAAGGAAGGAAGGAGGCTGCTGGGGAGGCTATTGCTGAGAGTGCTCCTTTTGATGCTATGGATACCGCAGAATCTGATGAGGAAGAGATTAAGGCGTCCGGATCAGGCAAGGGTGCCGCGAGTGCTGATGAGACTGGTGGGAGCAGCGGCGGGAGCAGAGGAGGTGGGAGCGATGGGGATGAGTGGGAAGAGATCGATATGCGAGAGATGGAGACGAGGCGGCTTAGTGATGCTGCTAAGAAGGCGGAGTTGGAGCTGCAAGAGAAGAGAGAGGCCGAGAGGGAGAAGGAGAAGGAGAGGGAGAGGGAGAAGGAGAGGGAGAAGGAGAGGAAACGGAAGGAGAAGGAGAGGGAAAGGGAGATGGAGATGGAAAGGCAAGTAAGGGAGGAGAGAGAGAGGGTACGGAAGGAGGAGAGGGAGAAGGTTCGGAAGGAGAAGGAGAGGTTGAAGGAGCAAGAACAAAAAGAGGAGAGGGAGAGGGAGCGGAAGGAAAAGGAGGAGAGGGCGAGGGAACGGAAGGAAAAGGAGGAGAGGGAAAGGGAACGGAAGGAGAAGGAGAAGGAACGGAAGGATAAGGAAGAGAGGGAGAGAGAACGGAAGGAAAAGGAGAAAAGGGAGAAAGAGAGGGAACGAAAGGAAAGGGAGGAGAGGGAGAGGGAACGGAAGGAGAAGGAGAAGGAAAGGGAGAGGGAGTGGAAGGAGAAAGAAAGGGAGAGAGAACTGCAGCAGAGGAAGATGGAGAGGGAGAGGAAACAAATGGAGGAAAGGAAGAGGGAGAAGGAGAGAGAACAAGCGGAGGCGAGGGAGAGGGAGAACGCACACAGCCGGAAGCAACAGCAGCAGCAGCAGGGAGTGGATGCAGAGATGGATCCAGCACCAGTGAGCGTGGCCTATGAGCGCAAGAGGAAGCGAGCTCAGGATGTAAACCAGGAGAGAGGTGAGGAGGAGATGCAGGCCGGTCAGCAGCAGAAGCAGGCTGTGACGACATACACACGTGCGAGGAGGCAGGGGGGTGCTAGCGTGGAAAATAAGGCTTCTGACGTGGACAAGAGAGGTGCAGGGACGGAGGGCGAGAAGCATGAGATGGGGCGGGGATTGGGAAGGGAGGGTGTGAGAGGAGCTGGAGTGAGGGATGCGAGAGAGGAGCAGAAAGAGGAGGTGGTGACAACTGTGGCGAATATCATGCTGCTGGATTTGAGTGATGAGGAGTGCTCCCTGTCGCCCTTGGAGCTTGGTGGAAGGGAGAGTCAGGAGAGGGGTGAGGTTGCTGTGTCTGCTGCGCGCTGGGGTAAGGATGTGAGGGGTCAGGTGGTTCAGGAGCAAGGTGCTGGTTGTAGGAGCGCTGGTGTGAAACCTGCTGCTGCTGCTGGTGCTTTTGGTGGTGCTTCTGGTGGTGCTGCGGCTGCTGCCGCCGCTGCTTGTGCTGGAATAAGGAGAAAGGTGATGGAGAAGGAATCAGAAAGCGAGGAGGAAGAGGAGGGGGATGAGGAAGATGAGGAGGAGGAAGAGGACGAGGAAGCGGAAGGTGAAGAGGAGGAATCGACAGAGGGTGACAGCACTGAGGGTGAGGAGGAGGAAGAAGAGGAGAATGCGCAAGAGGTTGCTGTGAAGGTTCCAGACGCAAGATTTGCAGGGAGGGTGGTTGCAGAAGCAAGAACCAAGGCGCAGGGTGAAGTTGGGACCAAGGAACAGAGCCTACAAGCTGCTGCTGCTGCTGCTGCCCAGGGTCAGAGAGGACGGGAAGACCCTGCTGCTGGTAAAGGCGCATCTGGTAATGTGTTAGAGAGAGCGGTTGCAGCCCGGCAAGAGAGGAGCATGGTGATGGAAGTTGAGGATGTGGAGGAGGATGATGAGGAATCTGATGAGGAAGACGAGGAGGAGGAAGAGGAGGGGGATGAGGATGAGGAGGACGGGGAGGATGAGGAGGACGAAGAGGAAGAGAGTGACGAAGGGATGGAGCAGGAGGGGAGGAGGGCGCAGGGAGGAGATGTGCAGAGCAGGAGCAGGCAGGTAGAGCAGGGGATGCGGCCTCTTAGGCCTGTTGAAGCCGCAGCAGCCGGGGGAGCAGCAGCAGCTGCAGGTAGAGGAGGATCAGTGGCAGGAAAGGCAGCCCAGGCTGGGAGCAATGCGGCTGTTGGTGCTGCTGCAGCCAGGGTTCCAGGGGTGGTGAATGGTGGGGTGGCCGGTGGTCTTGGTGTGGGGGGAGCGAGTGGAAGGGGGCAGATGGAGATAAGTATAGAGGATGGGAGCGGAGAGGAGGAAGATGAGGAGGAGGATGGGGACGAGGAGGAGGAAGAGGAGGGAGATGAGGAGGGGAGTGAGGAGGAAGAGGATGAAGAGGATGAAGAGGGAGATGAGGAGGAAGGGAGTGAGGGCGAGTGGGAGGAGACGAGTGTGGATGGTTGTGCATCTGTTCGGGCAGCGAGTCAGGCCAAGGATGGTGCTATGGCCAAGACAGGCAGGCAGGGAGAGGTTCCTGTGCAACGAAGAGAGGCTACTTCTGCTGACATGACTGCTCGCATGCGCCAACAGCAGCAGCAGAAGTTGCGGCTGAGTCAGCAGCAGCAGGAAATTCGGCTGAGTCAGAAGGATATGCGACTGAATCAGCAGCAGACAATGAGGCTGAGTCAGCAGGAGGATGTGCGGCTGAGTCAGCAGGAGATGCGATTGAGTCAGCAGCAGGGAATGCGGCTGAGTCAACAGGAGGTGAGGATGAGTCAGCAGGAAACGCGAATGAAGAAGCAGCATGACGTGCGGCTGAGTCAAGAGGAAGTGAGGCTGAGTCAGCAGCAGCAAGAGATGCGGTTGAGTCAGCAGGAACTGCGACTAAGTCAGCAGCAGCAGCCGGAGGTTCGGCTGAGTCAGCAGGAACTGCGACTGAGTCAGCAGCAGCAGCGCGAGCAGCAGATGCGTGAGAGAATAAGGCAGCGGCAGCTGCAGCTGCAGCAACAGCAACAACAGCAACAGCTGCAGCAGCAGCAGCAGCAGCAGCAGCAGCAGCTTCAAGCGAGGATGAGGCAGCAGCAAGAGGTGGAGCTTCGCCAGAAGCAGGGTCACGACCAGAAGCAGAGGGGCGAGGGGACCAAGAACATGCAGGATGTTGTAGAGTTGTCAGATGACAATGATGATGAGGATGACGAGGATGAGGAGGAAGATGGGGATGAGGAGGAAGGAAGCGGGGAGGAGGAGGGTGGGGAGGAAGAGGATGGGGAGGATGAGGAGGAAGGTGAGAGCGAGGATGGGGACGAGGAAGAAGAAGAGGAGGATGATGACGATGACGACGATGATGATGAGGTGAGATGGTAGTTTGCAGTAGCCTCGTCTTGAGTTTGCGAGCACCAACAAACATATTGCCGAGCTTTGTCAACACAACCTGAACTGTGTCTGTTGTGCTATAACAGGTAACCTCCCCAAATTGAGATAAAATACGCTGTGCTTGGAACGTGAACCGCCAGCTTTTGCACCATTTTGGCTTCACCCACATTGAAGTTTGATTTCATTTTAGACTCTGTTTCTGAAGGGGTCGGTTTTTAGCTTTTCTCATGTCATGTCTGTCAGATTTTCACAACTTACATCAATTTCCATTTTAACCATCCCATCTACTTCTGTCACTTCTCATTGGATGTAAAATAGGCGAATCAAACTGATTTTGTACAATAGGCTTTCTGTTTTTGTTCCATCAACTTATGGTTTGCGTTTCCAAGTGTTTCTTATTAGCTTGAGTAAGAAGCCCCCCTAGATTACTGTAGTCTACAAGAATCTTACTATTCACCACTTGTAACGGTAGAAATGGAGCATCGCAACAGCGAGAACAGTTTCTAACGAGCCAGATCCTTCTCGTGTTGGAACCTGCGTGTTACCAGGCTTTTTGTATTCGACAAAACACGGTTCAGTACGGTGGCACTCGTTCAATTACGGCAAACTCTGCAGCTTGACAAATCGCCTGACAGATTAGTATTCTGTCTGTATGGCTTGCTCGTGGTTGCGACTGTGCATTCTAGAATCTAGGTTCGACGTAGGTGAACTCTAGGTTCTCCCACATCACCTCGAGATTCCCAGACCAGCCTTTACCCAGCTCTGGCGCATCGCAGATTCGCTTCTAGTTTCAGGCGATCACCAAGGCAATCCGCATTTCTCGCCTTGCGACGCGGATTGGCTCGAACGGGCCTTTCATCTCAGCCGCTAACTTTTGTCATCGTACGGCAGTCCGTTTGAGCTCCCGAAGGTCAGTAGATTATGCCTAACCATGATCGTATTCCATGATTCCAGTACCATTTCGGAACTTCGCCGATCTGCTGCTGCTCTTCATCCCCTCGGCCTGTCCATTCCCCGGCTCTCACGTCCTCCCGAACCGCTGCCATAGCCAAATCCAGTCGAACCAACGTCATATCTGAAAAGCATTCCGGCTAGATTTTAGGTCAATCGTAGGGTGCCAAGCCATAGCGTCGTCACAGCTTCAGCTGCGTTTGATGCCGGTGGTAACAATCCTCAACCCCAGAGCATCCTACGAATTATCAAATTTCTCCATTTTGTCCGTCCGCCCGTTTTTCTTTTTTTCCATTTGTCCTTTTTTTTTTTTCTCGGATGTCCGTGTGCCAAATCTCCCGTCCGTTCAGCGTGCCAGGCGATGGCGTCGCCGCAGCTGCAGCCGCGGCCGCCTGTCGCCGGGGGAATGGCGGATTCGAGCCGGCCCGCAGCCGTGAACCAGGGCTACAGCCTCGCGTCCTCGTGGGAACACGTAGGTCGATGTAGCAGCACCGTAAGGCCTATGAAAGATGCAAATGAAAAGGAACAATCTATTATACGAGTGCTCACGGCAGCCGTGAACCAAGGCTATAGCCTTGCATTATCGTGGGAACACGTAGGTCCATGTGGCATCACCGTACGGTCTTTGGGTAACGTAGTAAGGAGTTGTTAGCAGGTCTTAGGGGGTGCGAGGAACGGAAGAGTACGGAATGGATGCTTGATATGAAAGGGATTACGGCCAATGGGCTCTTTGTGAGGCATTTCACTTGACTCGCTTATCATCCTACCCTCCATTTTCCTTCCTTCCCCTTCTCCCCTCCCTTCCTCCCTCTCCTCACATATCCCTTCCAACTCACCACCTTTCATTTTCTCGCCACCTTTCGTCCCCCCATTCTCTCGAACTTCTCCCCTCGAATCACGGCTCAGAACGCACCACTGTCAGAGCGACAGCTGGCGACAATCGCGATGCTCGCGAATGTGGCTGGTAACCGCTCCCTGCCGCCCCATCTGGTGCGTCTCGTGTCCAGCCCTGCACGTTCCGTGTCCCCCAACGGTGCTCCCTGTGTCTCTCCATTCACACCGTTGGCTCTCCCACCTCGCATTTCACCCCACCCCTCCCTTCATCCATCCGTGTCACACTTCCTCTTTGCTTTATGATGACACCTCAAACCTCTCATCTTTCCTCCTTCCCATATCTTTCTCCCTGTCCTGTTCACGGTCCACCTTTTCCCTCCAATCCCTTCCCCCTGTTCCCCTCTTCCCCCCCCTCCCGCCTTTTCTCTTCTTCCCCCTCTCCCCCCCCTCTCCCCCCCCTCTCCCACTCCCATCCCTTCTGCTTCTCACTGCTGCGGAGATTAGGAAGGGGATGGGAAGGAGGGGCGGGAGGAGAGCGCAGCGACAGCAGCAGGCGCAGTGGGGGGAGAAGGGGGAGCGGACGATGGGGAGGAGGGCGAGGAAGAGAGCGATATGCTGTTGCTAGTCAACAGCCACCAGGTAATTTCCCTCGCCTTGTTCTCGTCCTGTTTTTTTTCTTGTATACCCACCATCAGCTACCCCTCCTTTCCTGCCTCCATATTACGCCCTTCGCTTGGCCCTCTCCCATCCCCTGCCCCGGGTTTTTTCTCTCCTCCATGGCTCGTTTTATCCCGCTTCCTCTTTCTGTCGTGTCTCCACTTGCTGACGGCTTTCCCCGGCTTTAGAATCTCTCTTCACGCCTCCTCCCTGATTTTCATTCTCTACCCCCCTCGGTATCCTCCCAAAGTGTATCCCATCCCATCCCAACCCATCACACTCCAGCCCATCTCACCGCAGTCATGCAACCCTAGGCAACCCCTCTCTAACCCATTCCGTATCGACCCCAACCACCCACCCACAAACTCACCATTGCCATTATGTGCGCGTTGCCTCGTTCCCACAGTTTTACAAGTGGCATTCAGACCTTGAAACAGCAATGAAGTCAGAGGTGAGAGGAGGGGAGACAGGGAAAAGCGGAGAGGGGAGAGCGAATAGAGGGTGAAGAGGGAGTAGAGAATGAGAGCGGATGGATGATAGGGAGGAAGGGGATAAGAGAGTGTGGGAACGGGTGAAGCAGGTCACGGGTAGTTTGCACCAGTCAATTTTGCTAGATCTTCTCTAGGTCTACCAATTTTGGAACCCCAATTTTCAGTATAAATACTATCGTCTTCTCATCGCATTTAACATCTCCTCGCGTTCCTCTCTGCTTTCTCCTCTTCCCCCCACTGACCGATCCCCTGTCCCACCCCTCTTGCCATCCTTCTTCTCATCCCCCACAATCCCCATTCCTGTCCCCCGTCCCATCCCCCATCCCCATTGCCATCAACCGTCCCGTTTCCCATCCCCCTTCCCATCCCCCTACTCACCCCCAGTCTTGTCTCCTACTCCCCCCTCTCTGCCCGCCTTTTTTATCCCATTTGGAACCCACTTCTTCCGCTAACTCCCAAGGCAGACAGAGGAGAAGTACCGGCAGTATGTGTGTGTGCTGGAAACACATCTGCAGACGTGCGACCATATTCTCATACAGGTGACTGGGGGGCCGGGCGGGTGGGGAGAGAGGAGAAGAGGTTAGATGGGGATATGGGTTAAGCTAGGCATGAATGGAGTACGGCTGGGTGGGAAAGGTTATCTTGCGGAAAATTCCGCATTGCCGAAAGAAAATATTGCCCGCGGCTCCTCTTTCCTCTTTCCCCTCGTTCCCCCGTCCCACCTCTCATCTTTCTACTTCAGCTGGCAAAAATCTCCTCTTTCCTCTTTGAAATTCCTCTTCTCCCCTGTCCCGCCCCCTTCCCTATTTGCAGTTGAACAGCACCCTGGCGCAGTTTGACGAGCTGCAGGCGTAGCATCGCGGCGTGGCACAAGCAAGACGAGCTCCCTGATGCCAAGCTCCTCTTAAAGCCAAGCCCCCTCTCCATCGCCCCCCTCGTCCCACTCCTGCGCCACCCATTCCCCGTCTCTTCAGCTGGACAGCAACCTGGCGCAGTTCGATGAGCTGCAGGCGCAGCACCGCGGCGTGGCTAGCTTTGCTTGATGGCTGCAACTAAGGTTCTTACCTTTCACCTCTCCACCCCCCACCCCGTCCCTTCAGCTGGACAGCACCCTGGCGCAGTTTGACGAGCTGCAGGCGCAGCACCGGGGAGTGGCGAGCAAGACTTGAGCTCACTGCCTGTCGTTTCCTCCTCCCTCCCCCTTCTCTCCACCCATCTCTTCCTCCCTGCAGCTGGACAGCATGCTGGCGCAGTTCGATGAGCTGCAGGTGCAGCACCGCGGCGTGGCGAGCAAGGCTTGATGGCTGCAACAAAGATTCTTACCTTTCACCTCTCCACCCCCCACCCTGTCCCTTCAGCTGGACAGCACCCTGGCGCAGTTTGACGAGTTGCAGGCGCAGCACCGGGGAGTGGCGAGCAAGACGCGCACGCTGCACGACGCGTGCGAGCGGCTGGTGGCGGACAAGGAGCGCCTGGTGGAGTTCGCTGATGCCCTGCGCTCAAAGCTCAACTACTTTGAGGAGCTCGATAAGGTGGGGTTGGGATGAAAAGGGGGGGAGGGATGTTGAAGGGTGGAGGGGGGAGGGAGGTGGGTGTGGGGGGGGGAGGGGAGGAGAATTATGGGAGAGATGTGAGGGAGGGGATGCACAACTTGCTTGCATTAGGGTCGTTCATTAAAAAGTCATCTGAAGAAGTGCTTCCCACATGCCTGTCCTGACCGTGCTTGAGGGGCCAAGGGTGGGAATGTTATGTGCTTTTGAATTCTGGTTGATTGCATACATGCTCACCAGGCCCCCACACGCCCCCGCTCCCTGCTTGTCGTTGTCTCTCCTTTGCTCTTACTCTCACCCTCCTTTTCAACTTCTCACACGGCCTCGCTCCTGCTCTTTGTTCTTCAGATTTTCGGATCGTTACCAATAATGCTCCCGCAAACCCATCCCGTCCTTTCCCAACCCATCCCATCCCATCCCATCCCATCCCATCCCATCCCATCCCATCCCATCCCATCCCATCCCATCCCATCCCATCCCATACCATCCCATCCCATCCCATACCATCCCACCCCGTCCCACCCTGTCCCACCGCCTATGACCATCCCCACCACGTGGCATCAGATCACGGGTCGGTTCCACTCGGCATCCATGAGTGTGAGCAGCTCGCACTTCCTGCCTCTGCTCAAGCGCCTCGACGAATGCATCACGTGAGTCAAACTCACACCTCATCTCATGCGTCAGTCTGCATCACCGGAGTGAGTCTCGCTGCAGCATGTGAGTCTCGCTGCAGCATGTGAGTATCGCTGCAGCATGCACGTCTCGCATCACACAGTGCATGCGTCACATCAGACTCAGCATCCATGAGTGTCAGTCAGCAGCCCGCACGTCCTGCCTCTGCTCAAGCGACTCGACGAATGCATCACGTGATAGCTATGTACTTGTACACGTACACTGCCTACCTGCTGCCACCAAACATATCAAAGATATGTAAACGATTCCGCTGAATATCCCTCCCTGCCTCCATGGGCCCCTGCCTCCATGGGCCCCTGCCTCTGTGAAGCTATGTCGCCTCCCTATTCTTCGGGTTGTCTTGATATTCCCCTTCACTTCTTTGTCCTCCCCTCCTTCCATCCACCCCTGCATCAATGCAGCTATGTTGCCTCCAACCTTCAATATGCAGATGCCAATATCTACCTCGTCAAGTTCAGACAGCTGCAGGTGATTTGATTAGATGTGATTTCATTAGATCGGATCCAATTCGATATGATATGACCTACACATGCAAATTCCTAGTCGATAAGTTCTGAGTTCACTCCAAAGGCACGAGCATGACACCATGCATGGGAGGAGCATGGGCGGGGTGTTTCTGAAATCTTTCAAAAGCTGGATGCATGGCACATGGGTGGGGTGTTGGTATTGTGTGCCTAACAATTGACTTTTGAGTTGACTCAAAAATCAACCCGTGTTGTGTGCATGTATCATGTATGGAGCCATGAAACACACTCTTGAGCACCCGCTGCTGCACCGTTGTGTTGTGCTCATGTTGTTACATTCGTCTCGTCCCCTCTTGTCCTTCCCTTCCCTCACCATTCTCTCCTCCATTCCCCCTCTTCCATCCATCCCAACCCTCCCTCTGTCGCTCTCTCCTGCCAGTCGAGGGCGCTTGGAATGGTTCGGTCCCACGTGCTCTCGGTTCTTAGAGCAGCTGCCAATCAGGTAGGTTCTTACTGATTAATCAATCACCCCTGTTTCTCCGAACTGGTCTTAGATCGCACGTGCATCCATATAAGGCTTGCTCTGGTCCTTCTCTCTGTCGCTCTCTCCCCCGTTCTCTTTGATGCTGCATTTCGCCTCTCTCACTCGCCCTCCTTCCCTCCCTCCCTCCCCCCTCCCATAGCACTTTCGACCCTTCCCTTCCCTCTTCAATGCACCCCTCACTCTTCCCACTTTCTCTGTTCCCTATGGCTTCTGAGGCAATTTCTGAGTCAAACTCCTGTACCTTTCTGTATCCCGCGTATCACCCGGCATTTTTTCCTCTGTGTTTCGGTGCATCTTATAACTCTCTGCCCTCGCCTCTTTTCTCGCTCGCTCTTGGCCCCTGCAAGCCCCGCTCCTCGCCCTTCTCCACTCCACTTCCCCTCCCTCTTACCCCTTTTTCCCCCTCCTCTCCCTTCCCTTTTCCTCCCCTTCTTTTCCTCTTCCCCCCTTCCCCCGTTCCCCCTTTCCCCCCTTCTCCCCCCCCCCCCCCCAATCCGCTTGTCAGGTGCTAGCGGCAATGAAAGAGAGCGGGGTGCCGTTGGGGGCGAGGGGGTCGGGGGGAGGCATATCGGAGGGCGCAGAGACTTCTCTCCTCTATGTCCGCTTCAAGGCGGCTGCTGGGGAGGTGAGGGGTGGAAGATGGGGAAAGGGGGAAGGGGGAGAACAGGGGGAAACGGGGGAAATGAGGGGCACTGGGGGGATGCGGGAAGGGGGGAGGGGGAAGATGAGTGATGGGGGTGACGGATGGGGGGGATGGGGATGGAAGATGTGGGGAGTGAGCTTGGAGAGTGTAACGGCTGTAATGGGCGTATTCTGAGTTTCTTTTCTGTTGAAAGACTAGAGGGAACTAGGAATGAAGGGTGGTTGGTAATTGTGAGAGTAACTGTGTCAACTGTAGGCTTATAATCTCTCCTCTTCCCTGCTGTACGTGCTGCTGTGCATGCTGCTGTGCGTGCTCTCGTTTGCCCTGCGGTATGCTCTGGCAGTTGAAGCCTCTAATGGAGGAGATGGAGGGGAGGGCGTCCAGGAGGTAGTAGCAAAGGCGAGTCCCTTTCCCTCACACTCCCACCCAACATTCCTCCCCCATTTCTCCCCCGCTCTTCCTCCTATGCGTGCTGCTGTGCACACTGGCAGCTGAAGCCACTGATGGAGGAGATGGAGGGGAGGGCGTCCAGGAGGGAGTACTCACAGCTGCTCTCGGACTGCCACACCATCTACTGCGAGCAGCGCCTTGCTCTGGTAGGCCCTGTTGCTGCTACAGTACAGTACAGTCCCTTGCACTGGTAGGGCTGCTGCTTTCAGCACAGTCGTTTGTGAGCAGTGAGGAGGAGGGAGTACTCGCAGCTGCTGCTCGACTGCCACACCATCTACTGCGAGCAGCGCCTTGCTCTAGTAGGTTCAGAATTATTTGGCTGCCCATATGGCTGCTGCTGCTGCGTGTCGCGGATCTTACCCAACACGTTTGACCCTACTTACCCGAATAGCCATCATCAACACCACCTCTCCCTCTCCCTCTGCCTCTCTCACCTCACCCTAAGCACTGGTGCGACAGCATATTCACAGGCTTCTCTCCGCTCACACATGAATCTCTCACCCGCACCTCTGCCTCCCCCTTCCTGTATACCAATGCAGGTGCAGCCAGTGGTGCAGCAGCGCATCACAGAGTTCGCCAGGAGGGAAACGCTACCCACACTCACTCGCTCCGGATGCGCCTACCTCATGCAGGTGTGTTGGGGGGGTTGAGGAGAGTGGGGGGGTTGTGGATGTGAGGGGGGCACATCATGCAGGTGTGGGGAATGTTTTGTGCGGGTGTGGGTTGGGCATTCCCTGCAGCTGAGGGGGTTATTGTTTGAGATTAGTTTTGAGAATTCTCAGAACTAATCTCATTCTCTGCAGCTGAGGGGGGTATTATTTGAGATTAGTTTTGAGAATTCTCAAAACTAATCTCATTTCCTGCAGCTGAGGGGGGTATTATTTGCTGCTGTGCCAGTCAGGGTGTCAGCTCTTTGACTACTCAGTCTGACGCCTGCTCATGTCAGCTCATGCCATATGTGTAGGTGTGGTGTGGTGTGCCAGTCGAAGCACCAGCTATCTGATCACTTCCTCCCAGCCCAGCCACCTCTCTCTGCCGACACAAGATTTCCTTTGCATCTTTCGAGGCGTCTTACGAGCACAAGACTTCCCTCCCTACTCTCCTCGCTCTCTCGATCCTTCCATGTGCGCAGGTGTGCCAGTCGGAGCATCAGCTGTTCGACCACTTCTTCCCAGCCACCTCTGCAGATACCTCCAACCTCGCCCCTCTCATCGACCCCCTGTAAGCTTCCAAGTTCATATTGGGAGTAGCAGCAAACCTATTTTCTTGAATTTCTAAGAACGAGTTTTACAAGTCTTGATTCCTCTGCAGATACCTCCAACCTCGCCCCTCTCATCGACCCCCTGTGAGTCCCACTTCTTGGTTTGAGCCTATTGTTGCCTTGCCTTGAACTCCAAATGCACACGGTGATTGGTTGTCAGCAGATCTCAAGACCATGAACACACATGCACCTGTTGTTGTCAGTTGTGAGCTGGCCCCTCAGCTCGTCAACATCGTACATGCCGACCTGCTATGTGATAGAATAGAAGTCTCAAAACACTACCTCTATCACGCAGCTGCCCCCTCAGCTCGTCTACATCATGCATGCCAACCTGCTGCACCACCACCTGCCCTTGCGCCTCCCTTCTTTCCCCACTTCCCAGTTTCCCCCGGCCCACCTCCCCTCCAGCCCAGATTTCTCCAAGCCACCTTCCCTCAGTCCCCGCCCCATAACGCACTCTCCCCTGCCCCCTTCCCTCCAGCACCCTTCTCCATGTCCCCCTGCTCTCCTTACCCTAGCTGCACAGTCCTGTACGAGTCCCTGAGGCCGTGGATCATCCACAGCGCAGACGTGGACGTGCTGTGTGAGCTCCCTGGTCCCCCTCCTTTCCCCCTACCCCTTTCCCCCACCTCCCCCCCCTCCTCCCCCCATTTTCCAGCTGCACGGTGCGGTTCATCCACAGTGCGGACATGGACGTGCTGTGTGAGCTCTGATGCATTCCCCCCTGCCCCTTTCCCCTTGTCCCATTCCCCCTTCCCCTCCAAACCCCCCCTCCCCCCCAGCTGCACGGTCCTATACGACGCACTGCGCCCGCGCTTCATCCACAGTGCGGACGTGGACGTGCTCTGTGTGAGCCGGTTGACATCATGCATGCTGACCTGCTGCACCACCACCGGCCCTCTCCCTCACCTGCCCCTCCGCCCCAGGTTTCCTCGGTCCCAGTTCCTCTCCGACCCTGCTTCCCCCAAGCCCACCTTGCCTTGCTCCCCACCTCCTGGTTCCCCTCCCCTTGCCCCCGTTCCCCTTCCATTCCCCGCCCCCGCTCCTTCCCCCTTTGGCAGCTGCACGATCCTATACGACGCCCTGAGGCCACGCTTCATCCACAGTGCGGACGTGGACGTGCTGTGTGAGCTCGTAGACATCGTGCACGCCGACCTGCTGCACCACCACCTGCCGCGCCGGGGCGAGTGGGTCGCCGCGCTGCGGCCCACCATTGCCAGGATTCTCGCGGATTTGAGGCAGAGGCTGATCTTCCGAGCTCACACGTTCATGCGGGACGAGGTGGGTTGTTTGCCTGGCACCAGGGACAGAAGGTTTTTGAGAATTCTCAAAAACGAGGTGGGTTGTTTGCCTGGCACCAGGGACAGAAGGATATAGAAGCAAGGTGGTACGAGTCGGTGGAGGTGCTTTGCTCGTTGCGCCCCACCATCACCCGCATCCTCACGCATCCTCACGGATCTACGGCAGCGGCTCATCTTCCGAGCGCACGCATTTATGCGCAATGACTTTTGATTGGGTGGGTGGTGCTGCTGCACTGCTCCCCACCATTGCCCTAGCGGATCCTCTTCCTCCTGCTCTTCTCCAACCCACCCTCCCCCCCACACCCCCTTCCCCCCTCTCCCTTTGCTTGTCCGATTACATGCCCACCAGGGACAACCAACTTTTTGTTCCCTTCCATGCATTTGCAAACCACCTGTTCCCGTCTCCACCTTCCGCCATACCCCCGCTCGCTCCCCCTCAGATCTGCAACTAAGTTCCTACCTCCACCTGTTTGCTCCTTGCCATTCGTCTGTTTTCCTGTCTGTTTTCCTCCCTCCCCCTCCCCACTTCCCCCTCCCCACTTCCCCCTCCCCACTTCCCCCTCCCCACTTCCCCCTCCCCACTTCCCCCTCCCCACTTCCCCCTCCCCACTTCCCCCTCCCCACTTCCCCCTCCCCACTTCCCCCTCCCCATCTCCCCCTCCGCACCTCCCCTTCCCCACCTTCGCGTCCCCACCTTCCCATCCCCCCCCGCCCTCTGTTTCCCCTTCACCACCTCCTCGTATAGTACCCCCCCAAGATCTCCAACTGCGTGCCCACCAGTGACGACCAGCTGTTGTTCATTTTAACCGTTCTCAACCCATCTGTACCCCTCCCCTTCCCCCTCACCCCCCACAGATCTCCAACTACGTGCCCACCAGTGACGACCTGGACTACCCTGGCAAGCTACAGCGAGCGGCTGCTAAGTCTGCTGCTGCCGCCGCTGCTGCTGCACAGGTGTGTGTTGTGTGGGGCGTGTGGTATGAGGTGTGGGGCATGGGGTGGTGTGGGGTGTGGGGTGGGGGGTGTGGGGTGTGGGGTGTGGGGTTTGGGGTGGGGAGTGTGGGGTGGGGGGTGTGGGGTTTGGGGTGGGGAGTGTGGGGTGGGGGGTTTGGGGTGGGGAGTGTGGGGTGGGGGGTGTGGGGTGTGGGGTTTGGGATGTGGGGTGTGTGTAGTGTCTGGCATGTGTCCCACTCCCCCTTCTCCCTCCCCATCCATGCCCCTCCGCTCCTTTCTCGTAATACGTATTGCTCTCCTCTCTTTCTACTCACCCCCTGCCCACGTTTCTCCTCTCCCTCTCCCTCCACCCAACAATCACAACCACTGTCTTGCTTTCCCCTCCTGTCCCGTCCTGAAAGGAACTCCTTTAACTCAGTGACTTCTGAGTCGACTCAAAATCCCTCCCCTCCTGTTCTGAGAGCAGCTCCTTCAACTCAATTGTACTACCAGAACAACTCCTCTCCAAGCTGTATCAATTCCCTGTGGGCGAGTTTGATTTTTTATTTTTTTTAGAAATTCCTTTTTTTTAACCTTCCCTGCCAGGAGGGTGACCCGCAGGAAGCAGGAGCGGACGAGCAGGGGGGAACTCGTACGCAGGGTGGTACCCTTACATCGCAACCACTGCCTTTGTTTTCCCTTGCCCTCCTTGCCTCCCTTTCCCTCCTTGCCTCCCTTTCCTTCCTTGCCTCCATTTCCTTCCTTGCCTCCCTTTCCTTCCTTGCCTCCCTTTCCTTCCTTGCCTCCCTTTCCTTCCTTGCCTCCCTTTCCTTCCTTGCCTCCATTTCCTTCCTTGCCTCCCTTTCCTTCCTTGCCTCCATTTCCTTCCTTGCCTCCCTTTCCTTCCTTGCCTCCATTTCCTTCCTTGCCTCCCTTTCCTTCCTTGCCTCCCAGGAGGGTGACCCACAGGCAGCAGGAGCGGAGGAGCAAGGAGGGGACTCGTACGCAGGGTGGTACCCCCCTCTCGAGAGCACACTTGCATGCCTCTCCAAGCTCTACCGCTGCGTGGATGCTGATATCTTCACAGGGCTCGCTCAGGTGAGGGGGTGGTGAGGGTGCAGTGAGAGGGTGAGGGTGAGAGTAAGGGTATGAATGAGGTGCAGCAAATGCGCATCCCCCCTTTAGAGAGCACTCTTGCATGTCGGTGAGAGGGTGCAGTGAAAGGGTGAGGGTGAGAGTAAGGGTATGAATGAGGTGTGGCAATTGCGGATCCCCCCTCTCGAGAGCACACTTGCATGCCTCTCCAAGCTCTACCGCTGTGTGGATGCTGATATCTTCACAGGGCTCGCTCAGGTGAGGGGGTGGTGAGAGGGGGAGTTTTTTTTTTTTAGAGTTGAGAAGGGAATATCCAAGTACACGTGGTGAGGTTTCAGGTGACGGTTCTGGTAGGCCTGTGGTTCCTGGTACAGGCGAATGGTCACCCGGTTTTGGCGCACGCATTCCAGTCATGCGCTTGCCTTTATTATGCAAATGAATCACTGTGCTTGTCGTGTTTCCCATCTGCGTTTGTTTTCACTGTCCTTGTCTTGCATGCTTTTCTGCCTCCCATGATATCTCTTTTGTTTGTTCTTACATGTGCGCTTGCACTGCTCTTGTGCGTTTTCTGTTGTGGTAACATGACAGGAAGCAGTGGCAGTGTGCTCTGACTCCATTCAGGTAACACTGGGGTTGGGAATTCGGGTTATTACTTTATCCGAGTTGCCAATTCATCATCATACCACCAACTATCATCACACACGTACCTAGTCATTCAGTTAACGTTGTTGAATCCTTCTAATTTCCATCTGAGCTGCCATCACACGAGCAGCTGTCATAACACTTGCTCTCCGTGCTTCCACCCTGCTCTTCCACACTATTCTTCCATGCTTCCATGTTGCTACATTCTGTCTTTCCACTAAAATGTCCCCTCTCTCCGTCGCCCCCTCTCTCCGTCGCCCCCTCTCTCCGTCGCCCCCTCTCTCCATCGCCCCCTCTCTCCGTCGCCCCCTCTCTCCGTCGCCCCCTCTCTCCTTCTCTCCATCTCTTCCTCTCCTCTCTCCCTCTCACTATCTCTCCTTCTCTGCCTCTGCCCTCCCCCCCCCCCCCCCCCCCCCTCCTCTATGACCAGCGTGCCAGCAAGGTGGTGGCACGCAAGGCGAGTCCCATGGATGGGCAGCTGTTCCTCATCAAGCATCTGCTCATTCTCAGGGAACAGGTGAGTGGGGGGTGGGGGAGACGATATGGTGGGTGGAATCACAAGCACGTGCAAGCACTGGCACACGCGTTCATGCACATGCACATGTGTGCAAGGCGAGTCCCATGGATGGGCAGCTGTTCCTCATCAAGCATCTGCTCATTCTCCGAGAGCAGGTGCGTGTGTAGGAGGGTGGAGGAGGGGTTGACGGGGGAATGGGAAGAGGGAGGTTGGGGTTTCAAGCACCCCGTGGATTGGCCAGTGTTTTCATTGATGCGTTTAGTCCTTCGCGAGAAGATGGGTATGGGAAACAGAGCATGGGAGGGGGGAAGGGATAGGGGTTGTTGGGGACGGTGGGGGAGGCACTGAATTTCCTGCATGTGTGTGCAAGTGAACACACACACACACACACACACACACACACAGGCACACGCAAAGGCATGCACGCGTGTGCCTGCCCTTGTTTCTATAGCACTACTCTATACATATCTGTCTGTCTGTGTGTCTGTCTGTGTGTCTGTGGCAATGCAGATCGCCCCCTTCGATGTGGAGTTTGCAGTCACTATAAAAGAACTGGACTTCGCACACACACTGGTACGAAGAAGGTGTGTTTTGAGTCGACTCAAAACACACCTGGTATGAAGAAGTGTTTTGAGACGTCTCAAAAGAACTGGACTTCGCACACACACTGGTACACTACACTTTCCGCCACCACCTGCGGTTTCCACTCCTTTTCCTAGCACCCTCCTTTCCTTCTCCAACTTTACCTCCCTTCGCCTTCCTTCCCTTCACTTATACCTCATCCGCTCCTCCCGTTTCTCCTTAGCTTCCTCTCTCGTCTATCATCTATTTTCCCCCTCCCCTTACCCCTCCCCCTGTCCCTCCCTCTGCATCCTCCATCCACTTGTTCCATCCCCACCCTGTCTCATAAGGTCCAGTCTAGTTCAGTTCTGCGAGTGGGATCAATACTAGCCTAACAACACCCACGTCTGCCCTCTTTTGTTCGCACTCTCGCTCCTCCTCCCTCCTCCCCGACTTCTCCTCCCTCCCTTATCCTCCCCCCTGTATCTTCCCCCCCCCCCCCCCTCCGTCAACTTCCGGGTTCCTCTCCCCCCTTCTCATGCTCCCCCCCTCCCCTTTCTCTTTCCCCCGCTCATCCTTCTCTTCCCTCCGTTACACCCTCCGCTCTCCCCCCTGCGCCAGGATCACTTGCGGCGAGTGCTGAGAGGCCAGGCGTCCTTCCTCAGCCTCACCTCAGGCGAATCCTTCCTGCGCTTCTCCCCCCGGGTCACCGAGAGCCACATTGACGCCAAAAAGGTGTCATTTTTGTGCCTACTCTCCTCTCCCGTCTCTTTTTTCCTCGTCTCTTTTCCCCGTATTCCCTCCTCTTTACTCTTCTCGTTTCCTCTCATCCCATCCCATCCCATCCCATCCCATCCCATCCCATCCCATCCCATCCCATCCCATCCCATCCCATCCCATCCCATCCCATCCCATCCCATCCCATCCCATCGCATCATGTCCCTTCTTTTCAACAACCACTCTCTCCTTATCTGCCCAGGAACTGACCAAGAAACTTCTTCGCTCTCCCTTCCCTCTCATCCCCTCTCCTCCCTTCCCCTCTCATGCTGTCCCTTCCACTTTCCTCTCTGTGTGGCCCCTCGCTGTGTGGCCCCTCTCTGTGTGGCCCCTCTCTGTGTGGCCCCTCTCTGTGTGGCCCCTCTCTGTGTGGCCCCTCTCTGTGTGGCCCCTCTCTGTGTGGCCCCTCTCTGCCAGGAGTTGGAGAAGCTACTCAAGACCACATGTGAGCAGCTCATCATGTCTGTCACCAAGCTTACAGTCGAGCCCATCCTCTCCTTCATCACCAAGGTGCCTCCTTGCTTCCCTCCCTCCTTCAATCACTCACTCACTCCCTCACTCACTCAGTCCCTCACTCGCTAACTCCCTCACGCCCTCACGCCCTCCCTCCCTCTCTCTGCGGCCTATGAATTTTCTTTTGAAGAGCCTCATAGAACCATCCGTGACGCTTCTCCTCTCTTTCATCCTCTCTCTCATAAACTTCAACACCCTCCCCTTCTCCTTTCCTCATGCCATCAGGTCACAGCGGTCCGTGTCGCAGGGTCAGCTCTCGCCCTCAAGGCCAGAGGAGGGGATGCAGCAGCAGCAGCAGGAGGGGACGGGCATGCAGGGCAGCGCGTGCTGAGGGAGCAAGCATTTGCCTCACCAGAGAAGCTGGCTCAAGTGGTGAAACAGGTGAGAGATGACTGATGACTGCAGAATAATCACTGTAAGAGGTTGTTTGCCTCACCAGAGAAGCTGGCTCAAGTGAGGAGGCTGGTGAGAGGAAGGCTGAGGGTGGACGAAGGTTGAAGCAGGAGCAGGCTCTCTACGTTCGGCATGTTGCTCGCTCATCACAACGCTTGCCCCTCTCACCCTTTTCCATCCGTCCACCTACCACCCCTCTCCTCCCCTCCCCCGATCTCAGGTGGACGAGGCGCTCATGGTGTCGCTCCCAGATGTGACAGCCAGCATGGCTCTCTACCTGCCTCTCCCTCACACCGCTGCTGTTCGCTCCTCACAACTCTCTCCCTTCCATCCACCACCTCCCCTCCCACCCACCCACCCCTCAAGTGGACGAGGCTCTCAAGGTGCCACCACCAGGTGTGGTGGCCAGCATGGCTCTCTACCTGCCTCACTCCCCTGCTGCTACTACTCGTTTCTCACAAAGCTGCTCGTTTTTCATCCCTTGTGCCCCTTGCCCTCTTCCATCCATCCGCCAACCCTCTTCAACAATTTCAGGTGGACGAGGCTCTCAAGGTGGCGCTGCCAGATGTGGTCGCCAACATGGCCCTCTACCTGCCACACGCTGCCACTCGCGCCATCCTCTTCCGACCCATCAAGTACCCCCTCGTACCTCTCTTCTTCTTCGCTTTTGGTTTCCCTTTCGAGTCACCTCAAAAGTCTTTCGAGTCGCCTCATTAGTCTTTCCAGTCGCCTCAAAAGTCTTTCGAGTCGCCTCAAAAGTCTTCCGAGTCGCCTTAAAGTCTTTCGAGTCGCCTCAAAAGTCTTTGGAGGCGCCGCAAAAGCCACACGCTGCCACTCGCGCCATCCTCTTCCCACCCATCAAGTACTGCCCCCACCTCTCCTCTTCGCTTTTGGTCTCCCTCTCCCTCTCTCTTTCTCTCTCGCTCTTGGTCTCGCTCCTTTACCCTCTTGCGTTGTTTTTCCCTCTCCCACACACACACACACACTAATACACACTAGCATCAGTACACACGCAGAGACCCACATTCCAGCCTTTTCTACCACGTGCCATCTGTCCAGATTGTGTAATCAAACACAGATTTCTACAGCCCATGCTCCTAACTGATCATGAGTCATGAAGACTCTAGGCCACAGTGCTCTGAACCATGCCCTTCTCCTATCCATGCGTCGCACCTGCCCTGCCCTCTCTCCTTGCATCTGTGCAGGTCCAGCATTCTAGAAGCACGTGCGCAGCAGCAGTCACTGGTCGGTTCAGAGAACACAGAGGAGGACAGGGCTGTGGCAGGTCTCATCGGGTGTCTTACAAAACCTGTTCCTATCCCTGCCCTGTCCTCTCTTGCCTTTGTGCATCTATGCAGGTCGAACATCCTAGAGGCACATGCGCAGCTGCAGTCACTGGTCGATTCAGAGTGCACAGAGGAGGACAGGGCCGTCGTCGCTCATACAGAGCACCTTCTAATCCCTTTTCCCATCCCTGTCTCCCTGTGCCTGCAGGTCGAACATTCTAGAAGCGCATGCGCAGCTGCAGTCTCTGGTGGAATCAGAGTACACAGAGGAGGACAGGGCAGTGGTGGGTCTCATCTCCTCTGCTGATCTCGTCACCTTCCTAGACGCCCTCACCTGAACACTTGGGAAAGGAGAATGTGCACCGATTGTGGGTTGATGAAACGTTTGCTCGTTATGATTTGCACTGAGGTTGCTGCTGTTGACCGAGTGAGTGGTTTCATTCAGAACAACTGGGAAGCTGCTTTCTCTACGGTAATACATTGTTCATACTACCTTGCTTACTCCAGAGACCAGCAGCACTCTGCATCAGCAAAGAAAACGGCGCTGGGCAAAGTCGCTTCTTCAGAACGGTCTGACGGGCCCCCCCTGATCAGACCAGGGCCGTTGATACCGTAAGACTGATCCGGCCAGTGTGCACCCGCGTGTGTTGTTACAAACAACAACGGCTATGCCATGCCGACAGTCGGTAACTGGCGAAACATGGGCGTCGGTGTGTTGAAATAGCACATATATATTGAAAAGCAGCCCACCAACAAGGAGTCCTATACAAGGAGCAAATAATCAGCCCACCAGCAACTAAATTATGGACCTACCTAAGGAACGGTCACCAAAACCCAAGGGCTAAGGGGCCCTGGGGAAAGAAAGGAAAAGGGGGAAAGGGGGGGGGGGGGAGGGAGGAGCAGGAGGGTGGGATGGGAAAGCAGAAATGGAAAGAGGAGAGAGCGGCAAGAGGTCAACTGAATGGGATAGGATTCTTTCTATCTATCGACGGCCGGCCTGGCATCATCTGATCCGGGGATCGCCTCCAAACAGCGGCAATAGTTCTCTCTAGTGGTACGGAACGGTACATCTGCGCAGATACTGTATGCAGCAACGACGCACAGCGAGTGCAAGGCGGGGTGCACATGTTCCCGTGCTCAGCTGTGCTCAGCTGTGCTCAGCTGTGCTCGGCTGTTGTTTGCCTTGGCTTGTTTGAAGGGCGATCCACTCGGCACATGATGGCAGGCCCCCGTGCGTGGGGAAGTGAGTGAGTAAGTGTGGAGGGGGCTTGAGTGAGTGAGCGAGTGATTGAGCGAGAAGTGAGTGAGTGAGCGAGCGAGTGAGTGCGGGTGAGTGAGTAGTGAGTGCACAAATGAATGCGGAAGGTGAACCGAGTTTGTGGAGAGGATGGGATGGAGAAATGCGTGGGCTGGGAAGGAAACACACTTGCAAATGACCGAATAGTTGAGTGGTGCGTGGCTCGATGAGTTGAGCGAAGAGTGCGAACAAGTGAGTGAGTGTATGGTACCAAGTCTCATGGCTCATAGTTAATCGTGTACCACGAAGCTTCCTCTTTGCATGAGATGACTCTCAGGTGCGGTTGACTCAGGTGCGGTTGACTCAGGTGCGGTTGACTCAGGTGCGGTTGGCTCAGGTGCGGTTGACTCAGGTGTGGTTGACTCAGGTGCGGTTTGACTCCGGTGCGGTTGACTCCGGTGCGGTTGACTCCGGTGCGGATGACTCAGGTGCGGTTGACTCAGGTGCGGTTGACTCCGGTGCGGTTGACTCCGGTGCGGTTGACTCAAGTGCGGTTGACTCCGGTGCGGTTGACTCCGGTGCGGTTGACTCCGGTGCGGTTGACTCCGGTACAGTTGACGCAGGTGCGGTTGACTCAGGTGCGGTTGACTCAGGTGCGGTTGACTCCGGTGCGGTTGACTCAGGTGCGGTTGACTCAAGTGCGGTTGACTCAGGTGCGGTTGAATCCGGTGCGGTTGACTCCGGTGGGTTGACTCCGGTAAAGTTGACTCAGGTGCGGTTGACTCAGGTGCGGTTGACTCAGGTGCGGTTGACTCCTGTGCAGTTGACTCAAATGAAGTCCACTCGGGCATTAACATGTCTCCAACATGTCGACCTGGTACGGCTCAGATGTTCCACATCGCTTCTGCCTCCTGCTGCCATGTGTCCCCCATGCCCATGTCATCCCCTACCAGCTGCATCACCAACGGACTACCCTGCTCCACCCCTGAGTACCGCACTTCACCCATCCCCATACCCATGCCCATGCCCATGCCCATGCCCACGCCCATGCCAATGGTGGGCCCGATACTGAAGTTCCGCATGAAAGGGCTGAAGCTCCTGGGAGACATGCCTACAATTCCTGCTGTGCCTCCTGACCCTGCTGCACCACTGCTGATCCTGGGGCTCTGAGAAGCCTCCCTCCATCTGTGACTGCTCATGCCCGTGGTGCCAGCAGTGGCGGCAGTGGCAGTAGCACCAGCAGCAGTAGCATCATTAGTACCAGCAGCAGCACCGGCAGCACCACCAACAGGACCAGCATCAGCACCACCAGCAGCACCACCAGCAGCACCACCAGCAGCACCACCAGCAGCACCACCAGCAGCACCACCAGCAGCACCAGCAGCAGCACCAGCAGCAGCAGCAGCAGCAGCAGCATGGTCAATATTACCATGTGACGACAGATCAACTTTCACATCTCCAATCAGCTCTGCTCCTCCCCCTTTCACCTCCACCACCACATCTCCCTCCGCCTCTCCCTCCCCCTCTCCTCCTCCCCCCTCCTCTTCCTCTTCCTCCTGCTCCTCCTCCACACCCTTTGCAGGCATATCCAACGCCAACACCCCTTCCATCTTCACTTCTCCTTCCCCTCCTGCTGCTACAAGCCCAGCCACGCCGCTACCACATGTTTCCAAGTGAAGCTCCGGGAACAAGTGAGTCAGCTCTTCCTCCTTGCAATCAACCCCTCCTCCCTGCAACAATCTCCCTGGGTACTCAGCAACCGAGTTTAACTTAGTGCCGTTGCCCGCATTAGCTGGTGGGAATTGATTCCATTGAGTCCATTCCAGAGCAGTACCAGCTGTGCCAGCAGCAACAGCAACGTTAGCAGATGGAGGAGGAGCAGAACCAGCACCACCAACGGCACCAGCGGCACCAGCAGCAGCAGCACCAGCGGCACCAGCACCAGCAGCACTAGCACCAGCACCAGCACTGGCACTGCTCTGACTTTCACTCCTGCTGCCACTGCACCGCCCGCTGCCGTTGATGCTCATCGTGCGCCCACTTGTAGTGTCACTGCTTGCACTCCGGCTCCGCACTCTCCGATACGCTCCCCCCATGACGTCGCAGTTGCCATTACTATTGCCGTTGTTGATACCGCTCGTGTTTTTATTGGTCGTTGCACGGGTGGTATCCATGTGCATGCTCATGTTGTCAGTATATGCTATCCCTTGCTGCTCCTCATGCGCCTCCTGCAACTGCTGGTGAGGCACAGGCATTTCCTGGTTCTCTTGCTTGCAAAACTGCTGTTGCTGCTGCTGTGCATAGTATGCTGCAGCATCCCCATCTGTAGCAGCTACAGCCACAGTGGAGAGCGGTTCCATTGCATCAGGCAGCAAAGTGGGGGCAACAGCAGGCAGAAGAGGAGCAGCACCACCAGGAGCACCATCAGCAGCAGCAGCAGCAGCAGCAGCAGCACTGGCGTTATTCCACTGGGTCAGTTGACCTCCGGGCAGGGGAGGAGCAGCAACACCCAGCAGAGGAGCCGCGGCATCAATTAGTACATCACCACCGAGGATAACGGTTCCTGCAGCAGCACCACCACCATCACCAGCATTAGCCGCAGCAGCAGCAGTAGCACAGGCAACAACAGCAGCAGCATCAAAGCCAGTGGAATCGACAGCAGCAGCAGCAGCACCAGAAGCAGCATCGAATACAGCTGGAGGAACCAGCATTGAAACCTCACCCACGGCCTCTCCCGCTCCCCCTGCCTGTACCTGTAAATCTGCCCCTGCCACTAACTGTGTCTCCTCCGCCTTAACTGCACCCACCATTGCTGGCGCTGCTGCTGCTATCCCCACTGCTGCGTCGCTAGCCTCCATTGGCGCGTTTGGTGCTGTTCCCCCTCCCCCACCACCTGTACTCGCCATTCCGCCAGCCATTCCGCCAGCCATTCCGCCAACCATTCCGCCAGGGGCGGGGACTGCGCCAGCCCCGACTCCGCCTCCCCCCTCGCCCGTCCCCCCCCCTCCTCCCGCCGCCAGCGCCGCCGCCGTCGCCGCGGCGCTCGGCCGAATCGCGAGCCCCGCCGCCTCCGCAGCCTCCCATACGATCTCGTCCGGTTTCAACCCCAGCACGCGCGCAGCCTCCTTACTCGCGCGCAGCAGCGCTTCCGCCGTGGCGGACGGCAGCGGAACCGTCGCGTAGCTGTTCGGGAAGTTGAGGCTCGCGCGCCGTCCGCGGAGCAGGCGCGCGGCGGTGTCGTAAGCGCGCGCCGCGTCTTCCGCCGTGTCGTACGACCCCAGCCAGATGCGCGAGCGCTTGCGCGGCTCGCGGATCTCCGACACCCACTTCCCCCAGCGCCGCTGGCGCACGCCCTTGTATTGCGGCGTGCGCTGCGTGAAGGCGCAAGATCCGGGCGCGTCGGGCTCGGAAGACGCCATGCCCGCGGAGAACGGCGGGCGAGGGGCGGAGGACATTGGGGACGCAGGGAACGGGCCGCGCGGAGAGATGGGGAGGGGGATCGAGACGCAGTGGGGCGGCGGAGACTGCTGCGGGAAACTGCGCACGTAGCCCGCGGGAAGGTATTGCGCCGTGCCTGTCGCGGAAATCGGCGCGGAAATCGGCGCGGAGACCGGCGAGAAGCCGTGAATGATGGGGTGATGCACGACGGTCTGCGACGCGGGCGACGCGGGCGACATGGGCGACGACGGGAGCGCGCATGATGTGGCGAACGCGCCGACAGGCGACGTGGGGCTCTGCAGCGGCGGCAGATGCGACGACGGCGTGTGCGGGAGCGTCGCCATAAAATCGCTCGGCGGGCCGAACACTCCCCCCGCCACAATCCCACCCTCGTTAGTAGTATAACCGTCGTTATAATAAATGTCACCGCCGCCAGCGCTCGCGCCTGCGCCGGCGCCGGCGGGAAGCAGCCCTTCCGCCGTCGTAATCACAGTGGGCGCGGGGCGAATAAGGCCCGCGCCGGCCGCACCACCACGCGCATAACCAGCTGCACTGGCACCACCGGCACCAGCAGCAGCGGCAGCGGCGGCAGCGGCGGCAGCAGATGATCCTCCGGCGTGGTTTGCTCCTATCCTGATTCTCTTCGTCGGCGGACGCATTCCCGATGCCGCGCTGCTGTTGCTGCCCCCGCCGCCCCCGCCGCCGCTGGTTGTGGCCACGAGCGCTGCCAGCAGCAGATGCAGCGCCGCGACCGTGCCGCTATCGGCGCCGGCAGTCGCGGCGTCGAATGCGCTAGCAGCAAAGCTTCTCTTCTGCTGCTGCTGCTGCTGCTGCTGCTGCGCCGTCTGCTGCTGCTGCTGCCTCGGCGGTCGGACGTTCGTTCCCTCATACAAGCCGTTCAGCGCCGCCGAGCCTGGCGGGACCGGAGCCGCCGCTGCCGCCGATGCGCGCGGCGGAGGCGGCGACGCGCGGCTGCTGCTGCTGCTGCTCGGCGGGGTAGGCGCCACGGGGGTTGCGACACTCGTATCAGCGGCCACCACAGTAGTCGTAGAGTCTAGACCGAGATCCCGACGAAGGCTCATAAATAAGGCCGCTTGTTCGTCCTCCCCTGGCGTCGCAGTCGCGGGCGCCGGCGCCGCATGTTGCGGCGGCTGCTCGCGCTGCTGCGGGTTGTTCAGCGGCGGACCTTGCACCGCGAATCGCGCCGCGGAAACCGCATGCTGCCCTGGGAGGGGAGGATTATCCATTGCAGGAAGCATCCGCTGACTCGCCGCCGCCAATTGCGCTGGCGCCCGCGGAGGCGGCGGCAACGAAGAAAGTTGTTCGGGTGACGGCTGCTGCTGCTGCTGCTGCTGCTTCTTGGCGAGTATGGAAGACGCCAGGAGAGGTAAGAGGTTGCTGAGAGCACTCGCAGCTCGTTCCCTTACAGTACTAGCAGTCGCAGCAGCAGCACCAGCAGCAGCGGCGGAACTCGCTACAGTAGCAGCAGCAGCAGCGGCGGCGGCGGCGGAATTCCACGATGATCCTCGCTGCTGCTCCTGATAAGCTTCCATCTGCTGCTGCTCCTGATACGCCTCCAGCTGCTGCTGCTCGTACCGCTGCTGCGCGGCCTGCTGCTGCGCCGCCAGATGCTGCTGCGCCTGTTGCTCCGCTTGCTGCTGCGCGTGCTGCGCCTGCTGCTCACTCCGCTGCTGTTGCTGCTGCCGCAGCAGTGTCGCCTGCTGATTCTCGAAGTAATTCCCGCCCGCAGCAGCACCCGTCCCTCCCGCCACCTCCGCGAACATCCGCGCGTCAACGCCTGCCGTTGCGCCAGCCTCCGCTTCCGCAGCCGCTGCCGCGGGTCCAACCCCGCCGCCCACAGTACCATCTCTGGCAACGCCGCCGCCGCCGCCTACGTTGGGAACGGTGTCAGAAACGAACTGTTGATGCTGCAGCTGCTGCTGGTGCTCGAACAAGCGGTTCGGGCAAGTCGCTGCTTCGCCTGCTTCGGCTGGCGTCATAACTGAGTCAGAATAGACGAATCCCGGCGTCACGCCGTCAATGACGGGGGCGACGGTTTGGAGGTGCGCGCCGCCACCGGTGAACGGCTGTTGCTCCGTAGGATGCGGCGGAGGAGGCGGCAACCCCTCAGCAGGAAAAAACGTGTGATTGTAATTATTATTATTGTTGTCGTTAGTATTGTAATGATTGTAGTCAACATCCGACAATACTGAAGCGGCGCTAGCGTCAGCTTGCTGCGGTTCGTGGCCTGCTGCAGCCGCCACCGCCGCCGCCGCCGCCTGCAGGGGCGCCAGTTCTGCTGCTAGAACCGCCTGTCCGGAATGAGCATCAGCAAGATGAGTCATGACAGGATGATGCTGAGTCGGATCGCAAGAGGACCAGGGTCCTCCAGCGCCTTGAGACGAGCTGATGATCATCTCCCCGGGTCGCTGCTCTACTGCCATAGTCGCCTCCATCCGAGATGTCGCCGCGAGCTGCGGCGAGTTGCGGGGATCGTAGCCGCAAATGCTCCGCTTTTCCGCTTCGTTTCACTGCGAATTCTAGGATTTGGTGCGGTTTCCGCGGGTGTGCCTTTACTTTTCATGTACCAGTATTACAAGGGGAAACACAGGGATTGTAACGCATGGTTGACGGAGGGATGATTGCTGTCCGTCCGCCGCGAATAACGGCGTATAACTAACGAGTCGGCGAGAGTCACGCGGCGCGGTGCTGCGACTACAACTTGCACGAAGAGTAATTAGCCGACACCACAGCTTCGACTGCTACCACTAATAAATCCGTGAGCTACTATGCTCGATTTGGGACTCCGACGAGCAGTCATGGAACGGAGAAACGGATTCTGAACGAAGCCTGCGAGCTTGTCGTTTATGCGACGTAAATGAGAATTCCCGCGCTGTCGGCGGCGAGTGTGGGTTGGGGAATCGATACGCGAAGCGGGCAGAGCAGGCGAGGGAGGCAGCAGGACGACGACTTGTCGAGGGAGCCCATGTGGCCTCGACCTCGTCCAAGATCGGATCCTCGCAATCATCGGATGGAGACAGCGCTTCCCTTCTTCCTCACTCTCCGTTTCCGCTTTTCCCCCTCACGCACTCTCTCGCGCTCCCGACTATTGCTGCATGCAGAACACTACAGTACTAGGAGGGGTTCCTAGTTGTGTGTCTTTACTCTCCAGCCACCTTCACCATCCCCTCCTTCCCCGCGCCGCTACCGTCGCGGCAAACCCTCTGCGCCCATGCGTCCATGCGCGCATGCGCCCAAGATGCGCCGCTGCGCATCCCGTTGAGCGGAATTCTTCCCCAATTCGTGTGTCCATCGAAGGCGGACAGGAAGCGTCGTGCGGCGGGGAAAGGGGTGGGTTTCAGGGCGGGTCAAACTTTGCACGTTTTCGCAGAAAACCCTACCCAACCATCTCGTGTTTAAAAATGACCGCTCTGGATCAAGCCTTAACCTTTTTGAACCGCAATCGGACGTACTCGTTTGACCCGCCTTCATTCATTCGTTTGTTCACGAATCCAGCGCGACAAATACGTTTCTGTATTTCGACTGTCTTGAAATGAGGAGATGCGGCGCGGGTGACGGGAGAGACTCAAGAAACAGATAACAAGAAACGGAACCCATGCTACTTTCTGCTCCTTGCGCCATGCGCAGCGTCTGTTTGCGGTCAGTAATGGGGAGGGGAGGGCAAAGCGGGGCAGCTGCTGGCAGGGCAGCCCATGTGCGTGAAGGCAGAGGATGGGCGGTGGGGCATTGTAGCCCTTGCAATGAGCGAAGAGCCGCGCAAAGATCAGCAGAGCTACTCCGCGCCGTGGGGGCGAGCGGGCACAGTAGGCGAGAGCACGAAGGGGAGATGGCACAGAAGGTGTGTGGGGTGTGTGAGGATGGCGTGGCAGGGGAGTTGCGCGTGACTGTGCGCGTGCGCGGGAACTGTTTGGCGCGTACAGTGCAGCTTGCAGTCACCCACGGAGCCAATCAAGAAAACCTAGAATTGATGGGGCAGGAAACTACTGGAAACCTACTCTGGTCGTGTTAAAGCATTGAGAATAACTAAAAAGTCTAGTTGGCTTTCTGGTTCCCCAGAATATATGAAATAATGCTGATGGATGTTTATGTATTTTCTCACAGTAGTAAGTAACTGACGCTAAACTATAAGCACATTCATTTCAAAGCCACCTGGGTATAGGACAGCCTACGTGAAGTTGTCGGCAGCAGATGTGGCTGCCAGATCCAAAAACCCCGAATGGAGAAGTCGAAGGGTGCTTCTGAAGAGCATGGAGCCAAAATAGGGCTTGTGGGCACCGCAGCACACTCAAACGGTGACAGACACACAAGCAACGCCAATGCTTGTAACACCGCCAAAGTTACAGCCACTCGACAAGATTCCAGCGCCGACACTCTAACCAGCAGCACCACTTATTATGAATGCGGTTGCTTGTTCGGGTGTCAAATTCTGCATAAACCACGAACACTGTCCACTTCTTGGACTTCGATATCCTTGGAAACAGCCACCACTCACTCCGTGTTTTAGTGACTGAGGCCATCTTCCTAGCGAGATTTCTCCCACACCACGTCAAACGAGTCTCCTTCCCACTCCCACTCCCTCTTCCAGACCAACCTTCATTACCGAGAGCCAAATTTCTTTACACCCGAAAGACATATATGACCAACAACCAAAACCCGTAACAATCACCTCTTTCATATCTCCAGCACTCGCCTGGTTTGAAAAAACAGAATGCCCTCCATCCGACATAACGGGCCGCCTTTTCGGGTCGGGTCTGGTTCTTCGAGAACCTTGAGCTGGAAGCTCCTCACGAGCATGTTTAGCGGCAATGACTCTACGTCAACGTAGGGGTCAACATAAACTGCTAACCGTGTCGACTCCTACTGTGCAACGGCTACTAGCACTTAACCTCCAATTGCCGACATTCTTCCGCCGTTTCTCAACGTTATTTTGACCTACGCGGACCTAGCGGTAGAGCGCCTAGACACCATCTGTAAGGATTTCAAGGGAAATGTTTAGGGCGTGTGTGATTTTTTAAATTGCCATAAGTTTATGTTTTGATTCTATTGTGTTACGGGTGCAATGAATCTAAGTAGCGAGAATTGCACTAAGGTGTCAAAACGAGTACAAAACTGTGAGCAAAGGCATGAGCGAACATTTATATGCGAAGCAGGCAAACAGTAGCGCGGTGCGTGCGAGCTAGCTAGTGCTATGCTCGCAGCGAGCAGGGCTCAGGTTTGC